CTCACACAAGATTCTAGCAGGCCCTCCGAATTGCCTCAACTTCAATTACCTGTGACAGAGCTGGTATTATATTTAACAGACAGCTTCCTGAATGGAGTAGGAGAACCGTCAGATGGGTATTACCATGGACAAACAGTGGCTAAAGCCACTGCACCCACCTCAGTAAAAGTGACCGGCGCTGTAACGGCTTCTTGTGGCCATTCTGCTACCTTTTCCGAGGGGAGCTTACGGCAAGAATTAGGACTCAGTAGGCCTTTTCAGGCATCTACCGAGTCGGAGTACATGCTCGAGAGCCTTGGGGGTTATGTGACTGTCCAAATATCATCCCCAAGCGGTCAGATAGTCACACCAAGTCGGTTAGCCATGCAGTCTTTCACAACGGATCGTTCTACGAGTTCTTCATCACCTGCTACTTCACCAACATTAGCTGCAAATGACGTTAATTTGAACGGAAGCAAAGCATCCCGAAGTCTTTCGAGGCAAAGTCTGGAATACATTTTGGGGACCGTGTCCGGCGCCGTTGTGGTCGTCATTTGCATTGTTTATCTACATCGACCCTGCTATCGGTGGCTGCGTCATGCCAGAAGAGGCACGATCTTGATTGCACATGTTCTAGAGGGAAATAACGCGAACAGACCAATTGATTGCCAGGGTTCAGACCAGCTGGAAGTTTCACGTTTCTCTTTAGACTCATAGTATTTTTTTTTAACAGTTTACCATAGATGAGTTGGTTCTCAATGGATTGGAAGAAATTAACAACTATGTACTAGCAATGTCATAACCCGCAATTATATAAAGATGCCGTTCATTGTGGGTCAAATGTGAGATGACCTTGAGTAAGAGGGCTTGACATCAGGATGAAAACACGGTGTAACATCAGTTTGCGATTTGGATTCATGACACTGCTCGACTAAGATATTGCATGATCCAGTGCAGCTTTTGGTCTCCAATTAAATGAAACAAAACAGAATATCCCAGAACTAACTTCGCGTAAATTAAAAAGACAAACATAATTACGTGCCTTTACGTGCCATATAACGTGTTCTCACTATTATGGGCTGGTTACTGTGCGACAGGTTCTGCAGTTTCCCAGGAATACCAAAGGACTAGGTATTGAACTGTTTCGCGGCCGTTACGATTCACAGTCCTCTTCGTGATTGTTTTGAGAGGTTTGATGCTTTTGTCGCCCTGTTCCTCAATAATTATTTCAAAGCCAATTTCACACTGAAATAGATGCTGGCTTACCGTTCCAACAACGCCGACATCATCATCAAGAATATTGTAGTCTGACCTTTCGGGGGCCGAAGTCTCTACCGAAACGCATGAAAGGCTTTCAGAGTCTGACACAACAAAGTCTCGATCTTCGCTCGTTTCTGACGGGATGTATTCAGACTCAAAGTCCGAATGCGTGATGTCCTCAACATCAGATTCAGCGGAATACACAGTAGAACCACTGTAAGAGGACTCGCCGATTTCTGAAACATAGTGCGGTAGACTCATTGTGATCAAGTCAATGGATAGGGAAACGGTTGGAGAAAGCTGCCTCCGCGAGCGCTCTGATTTATACTCCCTGCACCTCGATAATTTGTTAATTTACACCATTTTGAATGGCCTGCATCTTTCCGGTAGTGCGCTTTGGGAGCCTCCGTGCGGTAAATGGTCCGGTTGTTCATGGCCATTTCTCAATATGAAGCCAATACCAGAATCTGAAGGCTTCGTCCCCTTCCCGCATATTTCTCTGAAATAGTAGTCTAGGAACTAGAAGCTCCTCAACCTTCAGAAGTCGTTGTTTCAAAGGCAAAAGGGTTCTGCTTTTCATCTCATTTACTCAATTAAAACAGTATCCAGTCCACTAATTAGACCCTACCGGTATCAGCCCGGTCATAAGGGAGGCCCCATTACTACTGCCCATTTTTTAAGACACACTACTCATGCCTGCTACCTATAAATCACAGGTCTCGTCACCATAACAAACCCGATTTTCAAATTTTTGAGAGCTGACAGGGAGATCCGACTGAACACTCATATCTTGGAAAGCTATGATCTCCAAAACAGCAGTCTGGATAACTTTAGCACTTGCTGCCACCTTGGTAATTATAACTACTTTGTAAGCTATTCCAATATGCTAAACTTGACGCTAGATATATGGCCTTGCAATTTATCCTGAGTCTTTTGACCCTCCTAAAAACACTATGGTTGAGTACAACCTTCCCTGATCAAATATTTGAGATTGTATAGCAAGGTTTACCGGCTAACAACATGGAAGGTGACGGATCTTACCTCCTCTGCTGATACTGCTCCGAGGAAGCCCAGCCCAAAGGCGAAGCCAAGTCAGTCAACATGACATAATCCGGCTATGTGGCATAGCCAGCTGACAGATCCACGTATAGCCCATGCATCTAGAATCCCAGTATATAGACGACCCCATGACAAACATCGGCACTTACATGATCCAAGACCCCAATTCGCAAATCATTGACTATGCGCTTAAGGTCAGACTTACCAGGTGTAGAAGCATGTGATGAGGCGTCGCTCGAAACTAGCATTCATTGGCCCAATTAAACATTGTGATGCAATAGGCACTGTTCCTTGGGAAGCCAGCGCACCACAGTTGCAAAGGAATCGAACGTACCCTACAATATGATTCTCATGGTCCTGTCACTTCCCACGTGTGGTCATCGAGATTTTTCTTCATTCTGGAATCAGTCCGCACGGATGGGACCAAGACAGAGCACACCGTTTGAAGGCGGAAGTCTGCGGACAACGTCAGTGTTTAAGAAATGGTCTCCTTGCAGGTCTGATTTGCCCGAAAATGAAAGGAACATGGATTTCGATTCAGATAGAGTTATATAAACTCGGTCATCATATTCGGAAACTTACTTGATACCGGCTCACAAGGGTCAAATTCTGGTGGTCAATAAATTCTCAGCTAATCAAAAATGTAAACATCGGCTGTAAGCCATGTGACTGAAGATAGCGAATAAGATTATGGGCTAGGTGAGCTTCAGTGAAAAAAAGTCCGACCATCGTTACACCCCATGCAGGGTCAAACAGGAGAGTTGATCCTATTTACATGGAACATTTTTGACGCAGCTTATCAGCTTATCCTTTTTTGCCGGCTCCACGTGCCAGTACCAAGGGTGCAAGCATCCATGATGGAGCTGTATCGCTTCTGATCCCTCGGCTCTTTACGCCTGCCAGTTGTTCGGAATCTGGCAACGTTCGAGGCTACGTAATTGGCGCCTTAAATGCAACTTTTTCAGATTGAGTAGCTAGTTAGGTCGATAAAAGTGTATAGGGGATGGTATAATCTCAAAATCAGGACTCTAAGTTGGTGAAATATCTGGTCTGATTAGGGGGCTGTGACCCCTTTTATACGGGGTTAAAGATTACCGAACCTTCAGAAGACGAACTCCTGCCTGGCATGATACCGTTCCTATCTCCGCCTTTTTTACATCCAAGAACTGTATTAAACCCTCTGGAAGGGCTTCTAAGTAAATGACAACCGAAGGAACCCAGAATGTAAATTCTTAGAAGAATCAGGCACTTAAATGCCTTGTGAAATTATCCGGGTTGAACATGTTCCCAAAAGCTTTCTAGAGCTTTTATCCGTTCCAACCGGTCCGTTTCCTGCTCCTGGGAGCTGCTGTCGAACTGAGGGGTGGTATTTTACCACTAAGAACAGGGATATTCATCAAGTACCCATTCTGTCTCTGTCTCTGTATGGTAAACGGGGTACGCTCGGCATACCAGCGTCGTAACACGCTAGGAACGACTCCTGAGATCTGTTAACGCTTCAACAGCAAGATCCAGATAGAACAACATCAATGCATCTCAATGGGACACCTCAATACTAGCACATACCAGTATCTGTCAATCCGACAGCTGCATTATACTCTGTCAGATATACACATCACGTGATATTACACACCGCCTTTATGAAAGTTTCTCCGCCTTCCTGCCTTCTTTCGTCCTCGCTCTCATAGCCCAAGTATGATCCAAAAACACACTTAGGCGATCAGTCTGTCCTTTGACAGAAACTGCTTTTTCCCCATCCTAGATAGTCTGCTGCTAAGATGGCTTCTTTTTATGCCCTACCTTTGGAGATAGTCGAGTTGATCGCAATGAATCTCGGCCTTGCGGATTACTTACGCTTCCGTGCGATTTGCCAAACAACATGGCGCACATTCGAGTGTAAAACTTTGATACACCTTTTAGATGATATCACTAGACGCGACGGCAAAAACCTGGAGGAGGGAATAGCGGATTGTCATTACATATCTCGTGGCCATGTCTTGCTCTACGCATTCCGCAAGAACGGTATATCAAGGGATTTGGATATTTTAGTCCAAAATGGAGCATCGCTCAAACATGTCCCTTGTGGCGATATCATCGAGCGAGAAGCTCAGTCGTTCGACTTTGAAACCAGGCTGGGCTGGTTGATCCAGCATGGTGCTTCTTATCACGAGGTTCGAGGTGGAGTCAACAAGTTGCTTTTCGATGTGTCTTTCAGAGACAGAAAAAGGCTGATTTGGCTGCTTCGGAATGGCGCTTCTCCAGAACAAACAGTTGACCCAGCCAACCGAACTATGGAAGCCTTACGAGCTAAAGCGGCGCAGATCCGAGTTAATCGTGGAAATAAGAGGATTGTTACGGACCTACCAGGCACCAATCGATTATGGGGCCGCAACCATGGGCAACCGAGAGCCACCGATCTATCTGTCATCAGATCACGTGCAGCACCTTATACTCTGGACGCCCCAGGTATTCAAGGAAAAGAGAAACGTGATCATGTTTAGAGAGCAAGAGCATGATCTACCCTGAACGGACCCACCTGGCAGACTTTATCCTGTACACATGAGACTATACATGATGGGGGGACAGGGCCTGCGCACCAAAGGACCAGTTTCGGCCCGCTCCGCACAAACACGTTTTGTCCCAAATAAGACTATTCAAGCAAAGCACTGACTAGGAATAGGCCACACGATGGCTGGTTAGACATGGCTAAACCCTTCATATCAGCCTACAAAGCTGGCTCAACGCTCCCATCAAACTGCCTCGAGGAAGAAAAACTAATATACTGGTATCGGCCAACTCCCAAATCAACGGACTGCAATGCGACGGACACAACCATACGAAGCGCCGACAACGGCGGTGATAGCTTCCTCGCTGCCTGCAGCCGCCCAGATGGCGCAAACACAATGCAAGACTCCGTCTTCGTGGTCACACAGCTAAAGCAGCCAGCACTAGTGGCGGTGACGTCGGGCATGAACATACAGACGTTTCATGCACCGGCAGGGATACGAGCATGGACGGTGCCAATGAGCGTTGGTGCCCAGTCATTCCACGTCGAGAGGAATGGGAAGATGGTCGATGAGCTGTCTGGGACTAGTCTAAGGGATATTGTCGACAATTGCATCTGTGGTATATACAATTTTAATGCTTATGTCGGGACGTTGCCTGCTGATGCGGAGGTTGATCGGCTAGCGCCTGATGGGAGGGCGCTTTTAAAGCAGGGATTGAGGGTGCCTTGCCCCCTAATAAACTGAGGGGTCGCCATCCGCCTAGTTCTCTTGTAATGCTTCTCCCTGTCCGAGTCCGAGCGGGCGTCATACGTGTTGAGGCATGGACTGTGCCGGATGTAGACCTGTTGGGTGAACATCAGCAATTTGATAGATTCTAGCATACAGCTAATGCGATTGACTTAACTTCCTATTTCTATATTTCCGTCTTGTATGTTCCACCTCTTATCGAAGATTGGGAAGGGACCCTTCAATGTCCCTATTGTCTCACCCACTCTTGCTTTGTTACCGCTTGACCTTTGGGTTGTTGGGAACTTAAGACTTCCTTTGTAGTTCTGCCCGGTGTGGTCAGCAGGGCCACTTACGATAAGCACATTTGGTCCCTATGATCCCGCAGCTTCAGCTTTAGCAATGGCTCATACTAATGTGTCTTTTCATGAGAAAATGACATGGCTCAAAGTTATCAGCGTAGGATACAATCTCACTTTTACAAATAGATCCTAAAAGGCAAAAAATCCGCTTCTCATCTCCTCACACGCCCCCGAACCAAATGCCACCAGCTGGTGGTAGCCCCATAAACTAGGAATATGTGTCATCTAGCTGTAATCACTTGTTGTCAAAATTTGCTCGATAGGTGCAGCAAAGATAGCTGAAACTGTGCGTGCTATCCATGAAGCCGTGACCATCGTTTGAGTTGCACCTGCCACATTCAAGCACGGCTTCCTTATATGATCTGTGAACTCGCAAGTCATGATCTGAAACTATGTGAGCCACAGAAGCGATGGTATAGATATTCCTGGTGGGACGCACGTCGATCGGTTGTACCTTGTCGGTATTAATTCACAGAAGACATCTCCCGTCGAAAAGACACTTTCTGAGAGCTACTTGCACGAGTGAGTTGAAGTGGCGCTCATTTTGCTCATTCAATATCTTGATGGCTTCCGGTAACAACAGCAATCTTCTTCTCATTTTCAGTGGATAGCATCTGCAAAGATAAACCTGTGCCTTGGTTCGACAAGCCAATCGTTGGGAGTACTCATCCAAGTTATCTAAACGGGTTTCAGAGCATCTTTTGAAATCTCCCATATCCTGGGCACATTGAGAATCTCCAAGGGCTCTTGCGAAGGCAATAGCGACGTCGAGCTTTTCGCAAAGGTATTGCCGGTTTTGCGCAACTCGGTGAACTGCAGCATGCCGGATATCGGTGACCTTACGTTTTCACCTCATGATTCCTTTTGAGCCTAAGGAACTTAAGCGCCTCTCGAGTATTTGAAAGAATTTGGGCAACTCCATCTCCTCCGGGCACACGCATCCGAGTGGTTGGCACGTTTCATTTGAAAATCGCTGGAGAAACGCAAAACCACATTGCTCTAACCGATACTGCAAGGCTTTCAAAATATGGTGTTGGGCCCGAAAAGGCACATTAGACGATCGCAGATTTCCATAGTCGGAAGTGATCTGTCGGAATCCTTTTGTATTTGAATTAATCCCGAGGGTCTGTGCAAGCAAAGCTCGAACTTACTATACTCTGCTTTTGGGGCCAAGGTGGCTTGCTTTAGCCTTGATCGTCGGGGGCGAGCCTTCATCAGGATGGCATAGGTCTTAGTGGATGCTTTTGAGAGGGATAAGTTTCTGTCGGAAGCTCTTAAATATGCAATTTCAGAAACTGTTTAGTCTCAAAGTCCATGGATGACTACAGCTTTATATATCACTTACTAAAATGTTACAATTCTGGTCATTTCAGTAAAGATTGACCTTTGAAAGACCGCAGTTATGTGCTTGTCAGATAAGCCACGAGCAGCCCTTTGGGTCATCAGCTCTTTTCTAACGCACGAAATTTATGGCTCACACAATCCAAAGAAGTAAGACACTGGCCCAGTTTACGTATAGCTAAACTACTGAGTTCGCAACCGGCCAAGATGACGTTCAGGGTCCTCTGGTGCTGTACAGATCCATGGCTGTTATGCCCAAGGTGCATTGCCGATGGTATTTGAAATTCACCAGCTACCTCTCATAGGGGAAGAGGAGTATTGTTGATCTGTGTAAATAGCATCTGTTTACATGTATCTCTCTGTGGTCCACTATCACAGTACTTTCCGTGTCGTACTAAGGGAAACAAGGAAATGACAGAAATATGCCATAGCTGGTACGTAACTGGAGCTGGATTAAATGACATGAGTCCTGATTTAGGATTCTACCTATGATAATGGAGTGTTGAGCTCCAATCCTAGACTTATGCACGTCACACTTTCTGAGGGGATGGGTATCGTCCATTTCGGCAAATAAACTGTAATAAAGCAACTCTTAAATCGCGTTCAAAAGCAAAAATCAATTCTATACTTGGGGGCGGAAGAATGATGCGGTCGCTGTGTAAAAGATGTTTGATAGTGACAGATCAGATCTGCTCTTCTTGTATTCTACCGCTGACCGAGGTTATAAATTCTGGCCGAGCTGCTATCAAAAACCCTGGCCAGACAACACGATTACCATGCCCAACTCCGAGCTCCAAAGTCTGCGCGACTCTGCAGTCATCACCATCATCTACATTTTCGGATTGACTTACTTTTCTCTCTTTGTCCTGCAATTTCTTCTGTTCCATTTCCCGTCATCTCCAGATGCGATCATCAGTTCACTCTCTGTGATCTCCTTTAGCGGCGGTGGTCTATTGTGGTACTTGTCAAGCCTAATTTACCGAACGATATCTGCGTTCCAGGGAGACGGTGCAGCGCACTGGCAGAAGCTCGAGTTTGGTGGGGCTTTGATCCTTATCTGGGCGTCAACGGTTCCAGCTGTGGTCTTGCAATTCACCACACAGCCTTCCATCCAGCTTGGCTATCTGTTCGCATTTACCCTAGTCGCCGTTGGAAATTTGGTGGACTTTTTGGTTTGCGATCCCACCATCTCTACGGCGCGAATGAGGTTTCCTTACCATTGTGTCTCACTGGGTCTCCTCTCCCTGGCTCCAACCATCCACGCCCTGACCGGGACGCTGCCAAGTCCCCCGCCGCTGGCGATCCAACTTGGCCATTTCGCAATTTACACTACGATCGGTGCTGCAATCTACAGAATCCAACCACTTGAGACTATCGGGGTATTCAGTAGTTGGCGGTCTAGCCTCTATGTGATGCACTTGGTTTTGGCATACAGTGCTGTTAGTTACTCTAGAGTCGTATTGGAAACCGCAACAGGCTCTGCCACTTGATTTCTGGCATGGGCGTTCCAGAACGAGAGATGGTATATTTGTGGAGCTCTCGAATTTTGCATTGTTCTTCCGAATGCTTTCTAATGGTGCGGTTTACTGAAGGTCTCCAATTTCCTGTTAAATAGCCGGTCCGTGATGCTGTAGTGTCTCAGAAATATAGGAATCTGCATCATTATCATTGTAGCACCGCATTAGAATACGAGCCTGGAATGGACAACCGGAACCTGCCGCCTCGAACCGATTAGCAAATTTTGATTATCAATTACCATGCCTTCTTGCCTCGCCCTTAGTCCCCGGGGTCTCCGTCATCGTAAGTTTACATGCGAACTCTTGTTATTGTAATTTGCAAGAGCGTTGTTTTTCATGATCCTATTTTCAATGATCTATCATTCTCAAATAGGTTCCAACGACACTTTTGTTCTTGATCTGAACGGCTCCAGTCACGAATGAAGAAAAAAAAAATTAACAACAACTTCAAGAAGAAAATAAGATGGTTCTAGTTTGTATCGTAGAACTTCTTTTCTTGGTTCAATAAAATGATAATTCATATTTTATGCTTGATATCGATACGTATCAGTACACTTCTCGAGAAAGACCAAGGCGCCGAAAGGGCAACAGAAAGTCCGATAGCCCATGAAAGAACCTCGCAGTTGAGTGGCTCAGTGATTCTGATATGAGGGCAACACAACATCGCCAACCATGATTGTCTTGCTGCTCGACTCCTCTGAACCAGTGTAGGCTGCATTTCTAGAAATCGCCGCATATCTACCGAACATAGTTTTGCCATCGGCCTTTCGCATTTTGGGGAGCGCAGCAAGAATTTCATTACGTCGCGGGCCCATAGACTGGCCTACGAATAGCATCTGACAGCGCAGGCACGGGTCGAAAACATCAAAGCGAAGCTGGTCTTGTCCAATGCGAACAGACGACCAGTGATCCTCAATAAAAGGTTGTTCTGCCCTCTCCCGCTCAGAGGTTTGCTCGGCTACTACAATATTGCCATGGAATAAATTTGCCGCAATGACTTTGCTGATGTCAGAGGTATGCTCGGTGTTGGCCTTGATGGTTTCATTTAGACGATTGACAGACGATCTAGAGACAATCAAGGTTGATGTCTCGCTAGATAGGAGCAGATACTTTTGGCCAGTCTTGCGCGCAGATCGATTACTTGGCGAAACCTCCCATCCAGTATATCTCCGTAGTCGATCTTTCCAGGTGCTGGCAAGTTGTGGTAGCTGCATGTCCAGACTTGGATCCTGGGAGAAGAAACGTGCGAGTGTACAAGGTACCCCTAAAATTTCGGTAAAGAACGCCGAGACCACAGGCGAGGCGTAGGCACGAAGACACAACCTATCTCTGTAGGCATTGACCGACCCTCTTTGGCAACTCAAACGTACCGGAGTAGTCATCAGAGTCATACAGGTATCTTTCCAAGTCAAAGGAACTTCGAGGCTTAATTGATCATTTAGGGAATCGCAGGTGACGCGCAGTATACCGCGATCAATATCGAGAAAGGGGCGTACCAAAGCCATCCGCGGGTGTTCGTTTCGCTTCAGCGGAACACCAGTTTCATGATGAACGAGGTGCCATTCTTGGTCCCATACAAGCCCTTCTTTTTTGACCACCCAACGCCTGCCTTTGGGAATATTGAATGCGCCACAACCTCTGATGGGAAAGATCGTCAGACTTTCAACATAAAAGTGAGGAGTAATCACGTTATTCTCGTCCATGGACGGGTTCAGTGAAAGTATACGAGGAGCTTTCTCCACATAAAACTCCTCGATGAAATCAGTCAGTGCGTCAATATCCTTTTGGCTGGTCATCGCACCCAAACTGACACGCAGAATACCGGTCGGTCGACCGCCTAATACATCGTGGTTGTCACCGCATCGCAAACCGGCAGCATAATGATGGCGCAGCTCTGCACCCACCCATCCAAGAGACCGGGCCGTTCCTCCAGGATTGCAAACTGATCCAGAACGCAGTTGGATATTCCGCAATGTTGCTAGTTTCTCGACCTCAGTTTTAGGAACCCACTCGCCTCGACTGTTTCGGAGATTGAACGCGATGATCGGGCCCTGAAGCGCTTGATTTCCATAATCTGATTGGTAGATCCGACAAACCTTCTTGTCGTTAAAGTGGGTCAATGCAGAAAGTCGATCATAGACTCGCTTGGCGAGGAACCCAGTGTGGGCAGAAATATTTGCCATTGACCCGTATAGACGTTCGTGCGTGTCAATGGCGGCATCCAGCGCGATAATGCTGTGAAAAGGAAGGGTACCGTCTTCAAGTTGCTCATGGATCGTCGTTTCTTTTTTCGCGTGCCATTGCGCTCCGGACGCTATCACCATATCCACTGTCCCCCCACCAAAGAACTTACGCCGTTCTAGAATGCGGGCAGCGCTTTTTCGGACAATCAACGCTCCTAGATCAGGAAATCCAAAAATCTTGTAAAAGCTGAGCGCCGTAAAATCTGGCGCAGCATTTGCATCCCCCAGGTCGAGAGCAGCGGTTGACACAAACGAGGCGGCGTCAAGCAGAGTGAACACATTCGCTCCTCCATCGGCTGCGGAACGGATCTGCTCGCACCATCGGACAGGGAGGCGTCGGCCGTTCATGTTAGACTGGGCCGGAAAAGCAAACAGCTTGGGCGCTTTCGACTGAGCTTTGCCTAGCTCGGAGATCCAAGCATTCACATCGGCATCATGGAAACATTGATAACCCATCTTGGCGACCTCCCGTACACCGATAACACTGGTATGAGAATCAACATGGCAACCGTACCAGAAACCTCGGGAATCAAAATCCCGAAATGAGTCTGCAACTAGCTTAATAGCCGCAGTCGCATTTGCCATAAATACCACATCAAACTCCTCGGGGCTGGCATTGAAGAAATGGAGAACCCGTGATCGTACATCCTCTGTGCGCTGTGTAGACAATTGCGATGACACGGACATTGAATGTGGATTTCCAAATAGATTGGATTGCATATCACGAGAGAACGCCGTGATCAATGACTTGGCATAGAGAGTTGTACCGGCATGATCAAGATACGTTGTCTCTGTAACCGTGGAAGATAATGGTCAGTACAAGTGGATCGAATAATCTCCAGTATGGGGTCATACGACTTAGGAGAGGGTACTCTTGCTCGCGGAGGGCATCCACATCGACAGAGTATCCTTGGCCATATTTGCCATGTCTGCATTGCTCAGGGCCACGGCCACTGTCCATCATAATTGACGAGAGGGATGGGTGCGAGAACTTCAATGATGGCCAAACTACCAGTTGTACACAAAGGTCTCAAATGATTGACGACAGGAAACTTCTGCCGTAAAGCCTGTGAGGCATGCATTTATAGGTGACCCAATGGTGATGACTACGCAGTGGCTATATAAGTAGGTCCGATGGTAGATTTACTGGCTGATATTAAGGTTACTATGTCTAATGGTTATTCGTGAAGACGAATAGTTTTGCATTAAACGAAGAGTTGTTTAATGTATTCTAATATCTATAACCACCCTGCGGCAAAGTGTTTACTAAAGTAGTATTAACAGCAATTATTTTTATTTACCCATAATACCTAGTGAGGCCGGTTTCAGTCTAATAGGGTCGCGAATATCATCGGAACCCAAATAAACATCCCATCATGGAAGACACCCCGATTCGTGATTAAACATTTAGGTTAACTAACTAGCAGCGTGTCTTATAAATAAATATCAAATATTGAAAAGAGGCTACAGGATATGGATACTACACCAAAGCCATGATGGAGTGCCGCTCTCCCTCCTGGGAGAAGAGGGCTTCTGGGGAGTTACGCAATCATCCATTAGCCCCGCCAGTCCTGTAAAATGTGTATAGAAATAAGGAGATAGTGTACATAGAGTCTCCATGTGTTTCCAGTTTCGCCCGCTCAAGTCTTGTCCCGAAGTGGAAGTACTGGTAAATCCTAATAAAGATGGGGTCTGGAAAGGTCACTTTTCAACAAGTCTCTCCAATACGAATGAACAATGCAGTTACAAACCTCGATACCTGCGGGTATTGTTTCTATCCTAGAACTAATTTTTCAAAAGCCGAAATAAAACTAAGTCCAAGCCCAAAAGTGGATGCGGGTCTCCAATATCGTGTAGCCTTTTGTGGTTGATTTGCACTCAGTGCCTATAGGTCAATCAGTGAGCTGTTTGCGTAAAGTAACCCAATCAATTTCGGTTTATTAGCCTCCACCCAGTCGTACGAGGCCGGCAAATTGAGGGGTTTATTATTCTAGGTTGAAACGCACTTCTGAGGCTTTTGGCTTCTCCGCATCACGTGAAAGCAGAGTTTGGCGTAGCAACAATTGCCAGAAATAAAATCACTGCCACAGGAGCCAAATGAAAGAAATAAGGACGATGATGGCTGTCACAGCAGGGAGATTTCCGCGCTCGGATCCGGCTCCGTTAAACTCAGAAGTGCTTCCTGATAAAGATGAGCTTGTCGTAGAAACCAATGTACTGGGTAGGCTTGCAACATTTTGCTGTGATGTAGTGGCGCTTTGTATATCGTGTTGCGGAACATGGGAGGAAATGGTTCTCTGAGACGTTGTTCGTGGATAGCTCAAGACAGTAGGAAATGCGGTGTTAGTAAGGTTCACGGTACTAGTTCTCGAAGCTACCGCTCTGGTTGGGACTTTATCTATTACTGGAGATGATACTCGGATCACAGGTGTGGCTTTTGAGGCGCCCGAATAGCCAAAAACCTGAAAGGGTCTAGAGGTTGGTGTCCCGTGAAGTTTACATGCGTGGTTCAAACTTGGGGGAGGAAGGCTTTTATGGGAGAGTGTATAGCTTAGTGCATTAGTGCCAGCAGCGGAGAGGTCCATGGTTTCACGAATATATCGTATAGTTCCCGAACGATAGTTCTCAAAACAAGCAATTGTCTCTGCGGGATTTTCATCTTATTATTATACGTCGCGTTCTATGCAACAAGGTGCTTTATAGAGGTCTTTTCTAGTGGTGTTTAGATATTCACAATTAGCTGGTGGGGATTATTGGTAAGCTTAATTCTAAGGCCCGCCATCAACTTATTTAAGGCTGGAGAATGTTCACCTGGATCGTTCATAATGGTGGGAAAAAGGCGCTGTAGCGCTACAATTCAATGGATCTCACCACCCTAAAAGAACACAATTAAAATATTATTATCTGATGTTCGCGTTGCTATTGAGGACAAGGTTTGATTCGGAGCAATAGACATTTTTTCGCAATGCACACTGATGAAAGTCAAAAGTTTTGGACAACCCCTCCCCGTTATTGTTTGCCCCTCATTCTGTAACTTATGGTCAATAGGTCTTAAAGAGGTAGACACTTGACTCCGTACACGACTAACCCATAAAGGATAGGGAAGAACTGTTTAAGGCATCCTGACTGTTCCCCTTCTATAATTTAGTTCCGAACTCCGTTTCAGTGCCTAGACCAGTACTGTACAGGAATTCTACGTCCCTCACTAGTATTACTGTATCACACGAACTAGCCACGAGAAATTATTGTAGTCTTCCTTGCTTGCTTTGGGGTTGGTGAGGGGATGCAATTTCTCACGGCAAACTAACAACTTGTGTAAATATATAGAGGCCAAGTTTCACGTTATAAATTATTTTGAAAAGGTTAAAACCCTGGTTCCTTTAGGTAGATAAGTGTCGGAGCACCTGTATAATCCTGCAACTTACATGTCCTTTGACCCTGTCAATAACGTCAATAACACATGCTACTCTCTACTCTTATAAACGCCAAGTATGACACAAGGGCTTGCTATAGTGTACAGTGGGAGGGAATTAGAGAACATTCCCCGTAAGAGAACAATATGCAAGAGTATGGCCCTGGTTCTACAGCGTGTATGTAGGTATAACTTCATAACCTGACCCGTTGCATCGACAGCGATTTGCAGGTTACCGCAAAATATATCCGTGTACGTACATGTATGAGTGTGCCACTTCCTGAACTTAGAGCCTCACCGAGGCCTTTCGTGGCTTAATTGTCGTTTACGTTGTCAGGCTGCCCTCGTGGCACACGAATTCGAAACTGTTGAGTCATTCTACTGTACCTGATATTGCGTTGAAATTCTGAATTATTGGGCACCAGAACCATTACAATATGTAGAAGGAAGCTCAAGTCTATGTACTCTATTTTCCGAGCATCATTGAGGTTGCAACTCCCCTGAGCTTAGCATGGCCAAATATCAACTTTTTAATACCATACCCTCCGATTATAGATGAATATGAGCACCATTACAATCTATAAGGAGCATGCAAGGGAAGAACCAAAATAAAGTACTATGTGTAGACTCTGACATATTCCAGGTTAATCAACCGAAGTATTATTTTGATTTTGATTGTGATTGTTTCCGTGCAGACAACGTTCGCTTTTGTTCCCCTTACCAGGTCAAGGAGACCTCCCGATAGTGGGTACAACCTTGGAGTCTCGCGCGAACTCCATAATTATATAATGCTCGCGTGTAAGTTTTACTTTGCTATTTTGGATAAAGTCACCATCCTGCAAGGAAGATAAGATTCTGATGTATTGTTAGCGCCAGAGGTACCTCAGAGCAATTGTTGGAAGACCTACCCTTGATTGTCAGCCAGTACCTCCACCCACACAGAGCTTGTCCTTTGGTCAGATAGCCAGCAGTATTGTATCACCAAGTCTAAAAGGGGTGCCAGATTCTGTGCGCTACTAAATTCGTCGTTTCCAACATTGAACCGAATAACCCGATCCCAATCTTTAACCTCGTCATGCACACGATTTAGGGAATCCTCACATACCCTGGATATTTCAAAATAGCTCGAGCGGCATGCGTCACTTTGGATCACTTTTCGCAATTTGTAAAACTTGTTAAAGATGGAAAACCCCAGGCATATAGCCAGGGTGACTCCTGTGACAATGGTTGTCACCAGAGCCATGACGGACCAGTCTCCACCCTGTGAAGCGCAAACGTTGACAATCGTGGTGAGCAAACCAGCTGCTGCATTCAAGGATGCTGGCCTGTGATTCAATCAATCAGCCCCAGTCATTTGTTTCAGGTGGACATCTTACATGAAAAGTTTATTGATCAACCAAGAGTAGTTGGCTTTATACCTTGTGAATAGCCACGCTAGCAAAGTTGCACCGGCAACTAGGAATATGCAGGCAAATACAAGGAGTGGAGGGTTTTGTATAGTGCTAAGAATTGCCCGCCCTGCGCTGTTCTTCTCCAGTGTCTCTTCCACGCTACTTGAGCCCTTCAACGAGGTGAATGTGCCCGGAATGACTAAATACCCGGCAAGCAGCACCCAGTTTCCTCCGCTGGCGAGGAGGTTATAGATCCAATTCATCTCTGCCTCTTCCTTGAGCATCCTTGTGTATGATGTTTCATTTCCTGAGATTTCACGGGACTCCGCTTGGACCATTTTATTCTCCTCGAGCGTGTGGGTGTGACTCTGTCGTCGAAGCCAGCTTCGGAGATATTCAAGTAACGGGGCCATCATACCAACAAAAAAAGGTCGTCAAAATGGCAAACTATTTGGAACTTGAGCGGAGGGAATCATCCAATTACCTATATAAATATTTAGAAAGCTTCGTGGACTGAATCAACAAGGTCGTGAGGAAAGCAGCTCCCTCCCTCGATTTTGTAAATATCCACGTAGGACTGGTGGCCATTCTCTAGACACTCTCATAAGTCAGGACCCGCTTTAAAAAGAGACATCCCAGATAACAAAGATTTTATTTTGTACTTGCAAGGTCCGAGGAATCATGTCCTGCATATTTCCCATGGAAACTGAGTATGTCCTAACAGAGCCAAATCATTTCAGGACCCATCAATTTTGAATCACAGGCTCTAAACATAATGAAACCTATTCATAAATATAATCATCGAACGCGCCGCAGAAACAGGATTGCCATTACTTTTTGGTTTTTGAAAAAGTTATCTAAGGTACACTTACCAATGTCTGATACTTAAGGCTTCTGGTCCTTTCAAACTTCTGACGCTTATTATCACTCTTTCGATTTCAATGGCGGCATGGCTTGATCTCGTCTCGGAATCCACAGGCTGGACCTTGGTAGATACGGGACGAATGAAAGAACTAGTGCAGGGAATGAGCCATCCACATACTCAATTTCCTTCGGTAGTGTACTTCGCCGGGAACGGGAGTCGAATCAAGGCGCTTCGCGCGCTCTTCCCTCACAACAACATTATTCGCAGAGGCCCAGCTGGTCTGGTGCGACTGCATCTTAGCACAGGAACTGCAAACACTCAGAATCCTATCCTGTTGGCAGAAAGCAGTCTTTCCAATGTTTCCGGGCTGGGTGAATCAAGTCTGCGCCGCTGGTCATCGGACAATGTTCAACGTTATCGCATTCTCCAAGGCGGGACTCGGCGAGTATTGGATATACAGCAGCAAGTCATTTCTCAGATGCTTTTGCCGTGGACAAATGTCTTTTGTCTGTTTGTAGATACTCAGTCTGACATTCGCGACGCCTGTCAGCTGCTTAAGAGACCTCGCCAAACTGTCACGATCGGCTCTCAGTCCATTCCGGATTTAATGCGTACCGTGGTAATTCTAACAGGAGCTCAAAACCATGGAATTGAGGATCTATCTAAAGCTTCTCATGAACTGCATGCCACAGACAGACTTAGTAAGGACGTGACCGTCCTAGACCTACGCGATAGGCACGAATTATCCCCAACGGCAGCTTTTGAGCCATTACGTCGTCTCATTCTCAATGAAATCCAAGACATCCGGGGGGAACAAAGCCGCCAAGGCCTTTCTTTCTCGGCTATACACCTAAGCACCCTTTGGACGCGAACACTGCGTCTCGAACTTGGTACCTCGAAAGCTAGCGTCCTGGATTGCCTTCAAGTTGCCCGAGAAAACCACCGGCTCAACAACATTTCGACAGAATGCCTGGTCGAGTTCATTAAACAGGCAACCAGTTATATCCATGCCAAAGATGGAGTCCACGCTTTCATTGCATCGGCGTTATTAATGAATGCTTACCCTCCTGGAATGCATGGTGAGTAACGGTGTTGTTCATTACAGCACTCACCCTTAATAGGGTAGCACTGACACCCACAGGCTTTGATCCCGACCTTGTTTTCAATAGTCTTTATCGCAGAGGCTGTTTGGAAGGATGGCGTATATTGGAGGATGACGATGAGCACCAACATTGCAACGCCGTGTTTGAACATTTTACGCAGTATTTTCGGTCAATGAGTCCAACACGTTCATCTGCAGCCATCAGGAAGGATATATTGCGTAGCTACTACCTTCAGTGGAACGGTCTAAGTTCAACAACAACGTGTTTCTATTGCTTATGTCGACCACCAGAGCATATGTTGGCGTGCCGGCATGCAATTTGCGATACCTGCGTTGTGGTTTTCGGTACACCCAGCAAATGCGCTGAATATCACTTCGATATTATAAAGTGTCCATTATGCTATAAGCCTTCTCCGCTCACATTTCGTCAGCTACCACCCACGAAACGACCCCTTGTGCTTAGTCTAGATGGTGGTGGGGTCCGTGGCATCATTCAACTTGGTCTCCTACGTGCATTGGAAAGCCGGCTTGGCCATGGATTATGCATACGTGATATATTTAATCTAAGTACAGGTACAAGCGTTGGTATGCGGCAATTATCTAGTCAACCCCTCGGAATACTGCTTTTGTTTTACCTTTCTCTTTATGCACTTGGATTATCTGACCACGAAGCAGGAGCCCTGAACGAAATAGATCTGATCCTGAATGGCACCTCGGCCGAAGATGGATTCAGGAAATTCCCAGCTTTTGCCCGAAAAGTCTTCCAGTTGGCCTCAGCGCCGTCGCAAAAATTCTCAGTCAGTAGTTGCGCTAAATGGATAAAATGTCTGATCGGCTTTTTTGCAGATGGCCAATATGATGGAGATAACCTGGAAAATACACTTAAAGAGGCAATCAATCCAATGCGACGAATGTTTGATGTGAGCACAACTCTTTCCGCGGGCAGTCGACTAGCTATCATTACAAGTCGCATCTCCGATGGGAAAGCTTGCGTGCTAGCAAATTATCGTGGTATTGGTCAACGTGCGATCGATTCGGCATACGAGTTTCTGAAACCAGAAGACGAAAGTCAGAATCCTTTTCTTTGGGAAGTGTGGGTGCTATTGACCCTTTGTCCTTACATCGTCTTCCGTCCTCTCTTTCTGGGGAAGCTAACATTTGCCAATATACAGAGCTCGATGCAGTGTCGCCGCTCCTTGGTAAGTTATTTCAGCAGGAGATCATCTATTTTCCTGCTCAAGCTAACATTTAATCAGGTTTTTCCAAACAAAATCTCTCCCCGGATTTGGTCCATTGCAGGACGGTGGAGTGCGTGCCAACAACCCTTTGGCAATCGCATTGAAAGAATCCGCCATTATCTGGCCTTCACATGGGACTCATGACCTGGTTGTCTCAGTCGGTACAGGTCTTTCAAGCTCCGAAGCTAAGGCACAAGATGCCCCTATGGGGAGCATCCTCAAGGACGGGGCAGTTCCACGCATTATCAGAGCAGCGATGTCCTCACCGTCCATGGATGGTGAGCAGGGCTTCTATGAGGCACTCAATTATGTTCCTGACCGGATGAGAGCGCATATATTTCGACTAAACCACGCTCTACCTTGGCCTTTACCAAGACTGGATGATGTGGGTAGATTGGAGGATCTTTCTGAATTGTCATACAGCGTCCCAGATGAGCTTGTTCGTGCCATACTAGCAACAGGGTTTTTGTTCTTTGAATTGGACCAAACGCCCATCAGAGACCAAGGGATCTTCTATTGTGAAGGTTCTATTCTCTGTTCAAGTCCGCATGCCAGCGAGCTGATCAAAAGAGTGCTCGCTGAGTTTCCGGGACCTCGGTTCCAAACTGCAGGCGGATATCACCTTGGCCCGGTTAGCAACAATGACGGGTGTTCTGAGTGTGGGTATTATCGCAAAAAAGTGGCTTTTACCGTTAAGAGCCTGGAAGAGGTTATCTCAATCGAAATTGCCAACTTCACTTTTCATCACAAAATCGGTGGCTTTCCAAAGTCCATGCATGATTTTCTCAATGAGCAGCAAGTGTACGCAAATTTCGGTCGTGCGGATCACCTAACCGTTTGTTGGCCGTCAAACAGAGTATGCTACTGCTCTCGGGGAACCAAACGCCGTGTCCAATTTCTGGAGCCGTCTCCAGACAGAAAGAAATGTCGACTGTAGAAATTAGGGCTTAGCCGTTTGCTGCCATTAGCAATCGACTTTCGACTCTGGTATTGCTAACGTAAAAGTATTTGTACTTTGATACTGAGGAAATTACAGTTCTATTGATAGCAAGTTTGCTCACAAACATGTTCCATACAGCCATTATGTTTCAGTCCAATTGAAAATCTTAGGAAGTAGGCTCACCTCTAAAACCCAAATAATCAGTATGTATCCAGGTAAAAGATGATAATGGGACAGATTGTGCAATAGACGCGACGTCGAGTAATACAGCTTTTCTTCCAAGGGACTTTCAAAAGTACAGTCGGCTCCTACTTAACCACTGAATAATATACGAAATTCACTTTACGCGGGCCCATTGCAGGTTTAGGTATGTAAATTAGTGATTTTCATCCAAGGCTCTCAATAATGGTAGTCGGTACCTGTGTTTGTGTTAACAATTATTAAAGCGCAAGAACTTGTAAGATTCTACGTACTATTGCGTGGGCAAGGCAGGTTACTCCCCTATTTGGCCAGGGTTACCTCTCATAGGAAAAAGATGGGGATAACCATAAACCGCGCTCTCCACGTCCCCAGGGTTGGCCAGAGATTGCGAATTAGACTGTTATTCTGACGGGTTTTCTCATCATGCTCTCTTAGCGCTATGTTTAGCAGTAAGTAGCTGTGTTGAATTTTGAGAGTGGCCGATTAGGAGTAGTAGCGAAACTGATAGCTTCTAGGCCATGCTTGTCAAATTGTGATTTTGATGGCAGACGTCGGACTTAGGGTTCTGGGGATTTTGCTAACCCCCATGTTCGACCGCTCTTGTTGAAATTATTATTATTATTATTGTTATTGATTATTTAACGTCGCCGGCAGGTCACTTGGCAGGTGACACACTACCTCCCGAGGGGTAACTGGACGTGCTACCTAAGCGAGGATTTACTACAACTAGCTAACTAGCTCAACTAAATACACGCTGGAAAGCAGAAAAATTGAGCACTACGTGCTGAGAAAGGGTTAAAGAAGCGCCAGGCACTATCCTGGCCTGGGTTCCTGGGGATGGACTGACTACCCGCGGATGGGAGAGGATGCCGGCCTCTCCCATCTGGGCAGGCTCTTGTTGAAATATCCCGGTTACTGAGATAATTCAAACCCCACACCAGCCATCAGCGGATTCTCGGAGTATTTGTCTTGTCGGAAAGCACTACTCTGAGCCGGCCTTTCCCTCATTATAACTTCGCTTTCGAGAAATAGAAAGTCACCCTCAGGTTTGACAAGAGCCGTTACGAAAATCCGCCCTTTGTCCAACTTAGTAATTGAAACACTAGAAAGACTGGACCTGCTTCTCCATAGAACTACCATCGTTGGCCGCTAGCCTCGTTTCGAGATATGAGGTCCGGTAATTGTCATCCGATTTCAATGGGCGACGGAAAAAGGGTCAGGCTTTGCTGAGCGTTGCACTACAGTAATATGCACTACGTTTTCCTTAATGAGATATTTTAATTGCGTACATAAAACAGTCAAATCCGGCTTCGGGGAAAACCACCCCATGGCTACCGCAACCATAGGTGAGAGCCTGGGCATCCAACAATGATTCATCATATGCATGGAGCGACAGAAATGCGGGAGAGTCCAAGTCCCAACTCGCCTTAGCCTTGGGCTGTGGCTACTTGCCAATGTGGTTATTTGAACAAACCTGCCCGACCAGCGCGATTAAACGATGGCGGCTGCGAGCTGAAGACGCCCATCAGAAGCAAAAACGCATAATATCTAATAAGCAAATGCCATATGAGGGTAGAATGTCTGCGGAGAAGCGCCGGTGCAGCTACAAATTGAATTACAAGCGACGGAAGCCAATATAATGGTGAACGCAGCGTCTACGCGGGCAGGTGAATCGGCCAATCAGAGGCGACCACAACGCTGTGGTCTTGTGCCGAAATTTAGGCCATAGACGGAATCGACTCCCTAAGATAACTTTGAATGGTGGAAACTAAGATTATCGGTTATTTGTGAATTATATATATTTATCTTTAATGGGTGGGGTTGCTGTTCGGTTGGCTTGTGTGTTCAGCTCGCATGTGAATTATCTTATCTGAACAAAAGGGTACCCGTTTGGGTCTTGGGTTGGGTTGCCTTCTAAGCATAAATATGTACTGGTATATTCGAACTCCTTCTACTTGCTTTCTCTCAAAGCCGAAAGTGGCGTAATCAGACTGCTTCGCCATTAGTGTATTTTCTTGACGAACGGTAGTATATACTCTTCTATCAGGAGCGACATTTGAATAAACGCCTCCTAAATAATTAGAGAGAACCCGAATAATTGATCTCAGACTTGTACGAACGCATAGATGGCTTGGACATATAACTAGCTAGGCAGCACTAAGCAAGAACCCAGGGTCCTGAGGTTTTCTTAGGCAGTCTCAGTATGCCACTGTGCCTAGCCATCCCAGCTTCGATGTACCCGAGATTACTGGGGGCATTTAGAGTCGTGCACATGGGCACTGCTATACGCAGTACTCTCTGTCGTCGGGACACAGTCAACATTGTTCCATTCCCTGAGCCAGCAGCCCGTCTGCCGACCACTTGCAGCGCTGGTTTGCCAGATCGCCCTCTTGCATTTGTTATCCGGATATTCGGAGCAAGCCTTCACACACGCCTTAACCGAATCGGCGACGAAGTATTTCAAGTTCGCACCACCGTAGTCGTCAACTGGATCCAAGGCACTTAGAACATGAGGCGATCAATATGAGATAGACAGCGACTTACGCTTATTGCAGTACGCGGTGTACGTTTTGCCGCCGTTGTTGAAGACCTGGTCGTCATTGTAACCACCTATGATTGTCAGTCATTGAACGTTTTTCTGCAGAGGTAGACCCATGGAGAATGAAGAGAGAAAGCTAAAAAAACGTCTGTACGAACATTGGATATCGCTGTTGCCACAGTTGCAGTAAGGATACTGGGCAAAAGCGCCTGCAACGAACATCGACACAAAAAAGTTGGATAAGTTGAGCTTCATATTGAATGCGAATATATGGGAATTTGAAAACGAGATAGAATAATTCGAGGCTTGGCTTGAAATGTAATCTTACTTCAGCTCGGGAGACATGTTGCGTTTAAATAGACAGCTCCTCGCCATCAATTACAAATTGGGATCTTGTTCAGAATCGGAAGGACTATAACTACTATTTCTCTTACTTCATAATGCATGACAATTCTCAGCTGAGCCACTGATCCCTGCTGTCATTTGAGATCATATGTGGTGTGATTGATCTTCTAGTCGCTCAAGTGGCTAACTGAGCCAGACATTTCCCATGATCAGCTGCCCTCCACCCGTTATTATTGAGAACCAATAGATGTAGGCATATGTGAACATGATGCTATGTGTTAGTTCTAATTGTTATCCGAGTATGAACCCCTTGAAAATCACTGTTAAGGACCAATGGCAACTTTTGGTGATGGACCCAACGCGTTTGAATTGTTGAATTCTTTTTATGAGATTGCAGGCCTTACTTGAGGAGACGGCTTGTTAAACATGTGAAATCCATCTCCAATCATTGGATCTCTTGGTGAGCTAGTCACAGACATGCAGGGAGGTTTATAGTGGTGCAAGTGTGCACCAGAACTAGTGTACGACCTTGAACATCGGACAAGAACTATTGATATTATGCATATGTATGCATGTAGCTTTTCCTTGCTACGACGATCTTTTCAGCCGAGATCATAAATGCAGATTCTAAAAAGCAACTATTGTGCGACATACAACCTTGGAGAATGTGGGGCAGAAAGCAACGCAAGGTTGCCTTGTACTTTTGATCTTTTCTGATGAGACTATATGTTTTCCATTCAATACTATATATAAAAGATCATAACTAGGTAGTCTTATGTTCAATAATAAGGAAAAAAACAAGCCACATTTGTAGTAAGAAAATATAACTTCCCAAAATAGGGCAGGGATGTCGCCCGCGACTGGGGCGTGTTAGTAGTGCAGAGGTGATTCTGATTATGATAAGGAATCTCGCCATTGGCCGATATAGAGATAAGGAAGAATTACTAAGGCGTAAAATCTCGGTCTTTATGGGTGGGGAAGGGAGAAATGCTCTGAGGTAAAGGGAATTAAAATACGGAGCAGCTCGAAGAGGACGGGGAAAGAGGGGCTACCGAGTATAAATCTTGAGAAACACTGAGACCAGTCTATTTGCTAGTCATACAGTACATCTAGAGATGATTTCGGGACGGCCTTTCCATTTCAGAAGAAAAAATAACAAAGTATACATTATGCGTTTATTCCTCTCCCCACGGATGCTTCAAACTCCGAAACGCATACCTGGCCTTCATGTCCATCCACCACAGTGGCACAGCATCCTGTATCGACTTCCCGCACGTCAAGCAATTCAGAGGCAGTGTGATTATATAGTTTATAACCCGAAGGAAATCGTAAGTTGCCATCCAATACGCGTACCAGGTTCAGTCCGAATCGCCGGCGACATGAGTTTTCTGGGTCCATGCGAGTAATAAAGCCCGATCCCAGCTAAGTCTCCGGGACATAGTAGATCTAGTCAAAATTCCAGGGCATCAGGATACTAAGGTCAACAAATCCAAAATAGTTAAAAATTGGCTCTAGGATGAGAAGAGAGGGAGATGGGTTTTGATCCTTACAATGTCGATAACGATAAGTACCTTGGATGGACACTGTCGAAATCGAAGTCGGTGGCCGTCGCTCCTGCATTTCTCTATCTGCTGGACGGAAACGGGAGAAGAGAGGTAAATCTTCCGTCACCAAAAGGATGCTTGATGGTCCAGATGCCTAGCTCGGTGCTGAAGAAATTGCCTGCGGCCAGCAATCAATTTGGCGCCGAGTTTATGACTTGATGTAATGTGATTCGGCTGCATTACTATCTTCTCAACAGTAATGTCTTATTTGGTCCACTCCGAGGTAAACCAAATACTTAATATTACAGCCAAGGAGTTAAAAAATTATACGATCACGAGTATCCACCTATGTTTGCAGTGTTTTGGGGCCACAACTTGGGCCGCACACTGGGCCTTGGACTGAGTGAGCTCTGCCGCAGCCTAATTAAATGGGTTATAAATGTCATGCACCCGGTCTTGATATGTACAACCTCAGAATATCTGTGTAGCAAAGAACGAATAAATCAAATAAAGAAGAAAGCAAAGGAGCGACAGAAGCGAAGAACAATAAAGAGGGAGACACACAACTGTGCTGCCAGAGGTCACAACGAATGTTTGACGTGGAGTGTCACAATATATGGTATTTTCGTAAGATTACCGGGTTCAGGTTCAGGTTGAAGATCATAACCCGAATGCTGGTTATGGCCTAGACTAGCCTAGGGACTCTAAGCATAACATCAACCCAGTGTTGTAGACGTTGCGTCTGCTATAGTCCTTGAAACTACCACAGTCCTACTGCCGGTGAGCACTGTTATAACCCTTGCACCCCGTCCCCAAAGGAACAGGCCCAGCAATTTCTGTGTAAGGCCTGAGACAACACCCCCCTTTGCGTCCGAGGCTAGACCGTCTGGCCAGATAGCACGTTTACACTTCGGGTTATCAGTGCAGGCTTGAATACATCCTCTCGGGGTGTAAAGAGGCTGCCCGCCAGGATTGAGATCGGCACGTTCATCACACGCATCGTCAGCTAAACAAAAACGTATTAGAATGTGATACGCACGGAAGGTGCGAGTAACTCACCTAAATGGTAGTAGATTCTATAATAAGCTCCCCTGTCATTGAAGATATCTCGGTCGCGATATGGGCATTTCAAAAGAGCCTTCTCATCTAGCGCAGCGGTTATTGTCGCCGTGTCTTCTGGCACTGGAGGGACAAAGGTCATTGGAATTTGCTCAACAATGAGGTTCTCCATATTCGGTGTCGACTCGGTCATACCATAAGCCTGGGTACAGACCAAGGGAAGCCATGATAAAATGATAACAGGCCGCATGGTAAATAGATTGCTACAAAAGGCAACAAATATGACTAATAATTTGTGTGTTCAAGCGAAACTGGTGATAGGGTGGGAGAAAAACTGTACGTAACAAGTTACTTGTGCCGCACGTAATACTGGCCTTGAGATGGGTATTTATAGACAGGCAACCTCCTGCGAAGAGAAAAAGCCAAGAAACAATGCGCGCATCCTACGCCAATCCTGTATGATGACATCAACAAATGTAGATCACCAAATGTAGATCGTAGTTTTCCAACTGCAGCATTGCTCACAACGTGGTTTTTCAAGTACCAACAGACAGTCAAAATGGGAGAGATTATATATTATTTTAGCCTTGAACCACCGCAATCATTGCAAGCTGTGACGACTGGGACAAGTGAGGTCATGTTATCCCTATATAAACTAGCGAGAACGATCTCTTTCTTTTCCTTCTTCAGGCTTGATACCTTCGTGAATAGTACTTATTATCCAAGAACTGACTCTGTCACACAGGCAAACTGGATGGATTATCTTTGAAGCAGCTTCATGATGTCATATCTGCATTGTGCGTGGAGATCGCGCCATGTATTCCAATGGATTAGCTTGTAGATCTGCAAGCGGCTGCAGGGGCATGTTGGATCAGCTAGCCACAACCACGAACAGTTCATAATGCATGAATGACTAATGCTACAAAATAATTTCAAATCAGGGTATGCTTGTATTTGTCATCGATATAAGCGAAACGGGCACCGGGGCGGTCAAAATCCATAGATGTCCCTAGAATACCGTAGACATATACTGTAGACATATAGTCGGTGACAACAGGACTTTAGCTGAGAATGCCGAATATGACATGCAGCCATGGAATGTAGACTTTCCCGTCTGTGAGATGATAGCCCATGACCAGTCAATTTATGCATATGACCTGACCTTCGCATTGGCTGAATATGACTTACATCTTTCAGCTCAGCTATTGTCGAATACTTACTGTACAACTTCCGATTCAATCCAGGTATTCAAGTGGCCACTCCTTCTTTACATCTTAGGGCTCACATACTAAGCAGATCGATTTTCGTACTCAGGCACCGCTCTTGACAGTGAGGTTAACGCCTCCTACTTTCGCCTCATTTTTGGCACAGGAATTTCGATCCATGCTTAGTATGGGCGACGGTCCACAGAGGATACACCAAGCCACGGCAATATCCTCGCAGACAGAAGCATGGGAGACGAATACGATCCCAGGCGACAGACTACTTTTTTTATGGCGACAGAAGCGAACAACAAGACTCGACCGATCTCATACCCATCGAACAGTGTAGCGTGGAGTTCCAATTGAAGACAAGATGAATCGTGACATCCTTTGTCTTCGAGAGAGCAGTCGTAAATTTGAAGAATGGTTGAGTGATCCAAAGAAGGTAGCCAATCTGGCGCCATTCCTCATGATAAAGCATTAGATCAGCAAGTCGATATTCAGAGCAGAATCTGTTGATGGTGGACTGTAGTCGCTTAGCCCGTCGTAGCATCAGAAAGGTTGAATTCCAGCGCGTTCGGACGTCTTGAATTGGCACAAGCTTTGGCAATTCAGTCTGGAGACTGCAGAATGTTTCTCGGCGTTGGGGGCTTGCATTAATGTAGATAGCAAGATTTCGAACCTAGAAAGGGTTAAACTTAGTAGAGAAAGGTACAAGGAAAACGATGATCAATATCCTACCTTGTTTAAGGTGTCAACACTCTCTCGCTTTTGCTCCCTTGCATCCACTCGAACTGAATGAGACCGAGCTTCCGACCAGACTGTATCTGTCGTTTCATTCTTCGGAATGGCCTTCATCTTGCCTAGGAGTTGGTTGAGGCTGAGTTGAATCATATGGGCAATACACGGAGTCCGAACAATAGTCGCATTTTCGGCAACACCTAGCGATTGCACTGATTCGTGAATACTTGACATCAGTGTTTGATTATTTGATGCATTATCCGTCGTTATTGCAAGTACTCGCTCTGTGATCTTGTGTTGTTGAAAGAGATCGAAAAGAACTGTGCTAAGGTTGGCACCAGAGTGGGTTCCATGAAGCGGTTCGAAGCCAAGGAGGATCTCACGATACTCCCAGTCTTTATCGAGAAAATAGCCTGTGATAGCCAAAAACGCTCGCTGGAAGGGAGATGTCCAGCAATCCAATGCAATTGAGAGCTTTGCCCCGTCGGGAAGCCCTTTAAGGATATTCTGCTGTCGCTCCTTCACAGTACTTTGTAACCGACGGCGGATTGTTTTTGCAGAGGGTACTTCGGGACATGTTGGGGCAAGTTGGGCCATCTTGATGAGGCTTCCAAACTGTGGGTGCTCAACTAGCTGAAATGGAAGTCGGGACTCAGCAATAAAGCTCACAAGCTGCTCCTCCCAGAGTTCTTGAGTGAATAGAGAAGCTCTCGGCGCATGGTGAGCCTAGCAAAATTATGTATTAGAAGATTCACATAAAAGTAGATCAATAAATCATACAGCGTCTTGCATTAACCGTTTGATATCTCGTTTTGGAGCCCCCTTGTTGTCCATTGTCTGCTGGCAAGTGACGCCTTTAATATGGGTTCTCATGGTGGAGGTTCCATTGCGACTAATCTGTGGATGCTCGAGTACTTTATGGCACCTCTTGCACATTATTTTAGGTGCACCGTCGCCACTGGAAGCGACTTGCTCGAAATACTGCCATATGTCGGATTGATGCCTTGATGTCTCCCAGCGTATCCTCTTCTTCTTTCCAAAGTCGGTTTGTAACCACCACTTCACGAAGTCATCATTTGCCATACCAGTATAGAGGACGAAAAGCTTCCTTCGATCTGGTCCGACGCGATCGAGGGAGGAGGGAATCAGAGGCGGTGTTTGAGATCGAAGGAAATCAACGTCCGATACCGAATTCAAGGTTTCTTGGCTATAGGGAAGATCCAAGAGCCTACCATCTGATGTAAGGAAGTTCAGGTCTGGTACGTCCGCGCCGTACGAAGACGAATGGTAAGCATCAGATATTTGAGGCATAGTGAAATATGTGGAAATACTGAAGGATGAAGGGAGTAGAAAACTTACAGAAGATTTTTTAAATTGTAGCTTGAGTGGTTTAGACTAAAATGGTCCGTCGGTTTAGAAAACAGGCGAAGCTATCACAAAATCAAGCCCCATATTTCCTTTTATTATATGTCGAACTGAGGGGTGGTATTTTACCACTAAGAACAGGGATATTCATCAAGTACCCATTCTGTCTCTGTCTCTGTATGGTAAAAGGGGTACGCTCGGCATACCAGCGTCGTAACACGCTAGGAACGACTGTCGGATTGACAGATACTGGTATGTGCTAGTATTGAGGTGTCCCATTGAGATGCATTGATGTTGTTCTATCTGGATCTTGCTGTTGAAGCGTTAACAGATCTCAGGAGTCGTTCCTAGCGTGTTACGACGCTGGTATGCCGAGCGTACCCCGTTTACCATACAGAGACAGAGACAGAATGGGTACTTGATGAATATCCCTGTTCTTAGTGGTAAAATACCACCCCTCAGTTCGACAACGACTCCTGAGATCTGATAACGCTTCAACAGCAAGATCCAGATAGAACAACATCAATGCATCTCAATGGGACACCTCAATACTAGCACATACCAGTATCTGTCAATCCGACAGTCTATACAAATAAGCTTCGGCGTGTTACAACACCGTACTTCCGAATGTGCCCGGAATACCGTACAAAAATACTAGGGGGAATTGGGTGAACGATGAATAAGCCTGTCCCAAAGGGTCCTAGTGGTATTTGACCACTCTCTCAGTTCGTCATAATTTACTGCACATGACCCAAAGTGGGGCGGAGTTTAGCAAAAGGGGGTGTGCGTGGAGCAACTCTCAATAGTAAGACACCAGCATGCTATTACAGGGTAGTTGAATATTGCTTTTTCTTTTCAGCTGAGATTAGGATCTGCAACTATGTGATACCCTAGAGGGACGAGCGACGTATTTGAAAGGGGGAGCTTGGTCCCTGATCGGCAAATGTACCCACGATGCTCATGGAGATCTTGCAATCAAACCTCAATAGTTACCAACAAATAATAATGCTAACTGCTCGGAGATATGTACTACATGCCATATGTACTCTACAAGACCTATGCAAGGGTAGGAAGATTCTACATCCACTAGCAGATTTGTGGAACGCAAAGCACAATCAGAATCCCATATAATAGACGTGCACATTTCCCTTCTAAATCCGTGCATTCATTCTTCTTTCTAATTCGGAATATCAGTGGAGCGCAGCAAGAATGCAGCTAGTCCACGCCTTCCACGCGCTGGCACTAGCCACGACCGTCTCAGCATTCGGAAATCTCTGTTGTGATATGAGGCTGGTGCAGATCAGGAACCAAGCCGTACCGTCGGAATTAGCTCCGAAGTGTCTATATAGACGACTAAGTTGATTTCTAATCAACTTGGCTCATTGTTGTATATATAGGCTCATGTATCCCTCGGAAATAACAACTCAATTCATACCTCTGAACTACAACAATCTCCATTCTGCAACGGATGGGGTCCTCCAGATCCATCCATCTTTCGGGGCTGACAAGATTACCCTCCTTCCTGCACTAGATCCCAATCATGATACGAAAGATTTTAATCACCTGCTGCCGAATTACTCGCGCGCACTCTATTACAGCCAGGAAGGGCATCGCCGTAAGCTTCATTCACAATTACTCTGGAGTCTACAAGATCTGACAAGCCACTAGCTGCAATGCATGGCGCAAAACATGCAGATTTGAAGGTCAACTACACCCTTCCAACGGTTGTACTAGAACACTCGAGCCACGTCAAGAGTGTCCAGTGTAGTGACCACTCGATGTTGATCTGCTTTCAAAATGAACAAGCATTTCAGACGGCGAAATCTTGGTCCAGCCTGCACAAATTCCATTTGGTCACCCACCATGTGGGTTGTGGCGATCATTCTTCTGGAAAACGCAGTTACTTTCAGGCATCCAATCCTTTTTCGATGGCTGAATCAAAATGCGTGCGGGTATCTACGGTCCCTGTTGAGCAACGAGATGTTATGGATTCAGCGGACCTCAGTTGGGGGACTTATCACTCGCCGCAGGAGCGGAGGAGGACTGCAACCAAGGGCCATGTTCAAATGATGAGCTCGGAGAATAAGCCCTATCCCCACGCTGCAACTGTCGACCTAGAAACGAATGTCGCAGCCTACAAGTATTTCTTCAACGATACTCGCTCCAACATCACCCTTACGAATACCACCGTGGACGCGATCGAGTTTGCCCCCAGGAATGGCAGCCTCTCCAAACGTCGTGCTCATGTCCGCCGCCGAGATGACGAAGTTCTTATCATTTCTGATAACGGAGGAAAGGTTGACAAGAGTATTTGGGACGGAGTGAAAGAATGGGGTCAGGTATGTATATCAATGAGCATCCGGCGAGACTCTTTGGGCTAATCCTCGCATAGGACGCACAGAAGTGGATCAAGAGTGTTCCTGGCAAAGTGGTAAAGATGGCGCTGGCCATTAGAGACCTAGCAAAGCTCGGATTCGACCTAGCTAAAGTGCCCTTCGGGTATCCCTTTGAACGGTCATTCAGTGAGGACTTCAAAATCAAGGAGAAACTTGTGGGTAAAGCACACAAAATCTTAGGACATGAGAACGGATACCAGCTAGGTCCCAAAGATGAGGGGGAGTACGGAACTGTGAAGACCAAAGGCACCATTCAATGCGCCAAGTGTGGCCTGTCAGCCAATTTCAATGTGAGGGGCCGATTGAAATTTACCAGGGAAGACGGAGTTACGGCAGCTACTGCAACTTTCGATAATTATGACCCAATTACTGTTGATGCAATCTTCGGTATCAACGGCAAGATATCATATGAAAAAACATGGGAAAAGCCAATTCCCATCAAAAAACAGCCCACACCAATTGATATTCCCGGGCTCATCACTATTGGCCCGATGATCAAGGTCAATGTCGCATTCACTGTGACAGTTGAAGGTGAGGCCGAGATGTTAGTGGGTGGAAGTTATTCGATGGCGAAGGGGAGCGCTACCATCGACCTGGTTCAGTCAGACAACACAGCAATTGAAGGACTCGATCAGAATTTTACTCCGACCATCGAACTTAGTGGCACCCTGACCGGAACAGCAGAATTTGGACTACCCTTTACCGTGGAGGCTGGGATTGATTTCCTGGATGGTAAGTGGAGGGCGACTGCCGGTATGACCGTCAGTCCGGCAGTGTATCTCAAAAGCATTGTCACGACAAAGGAAGGAAATGATACGTGTACCAATGGACTGGAGCTGCGTGCGGGAGTCAAAAGCCCCGTTGTATTTTCTGTCTTAGACCGCTACAACTCGGACGAATTCCTGTCAGACCCGCTTTATGAGCATGGCCTTGCCTGCTTTACGTATGGAATCCCTCCCTCCCAGGCGAGCCTGGAAATTTCTAACATCTTATAGGAAAGACGGGTATCAGCCTAACAAGGTGGGACCGGCTAATGGGATTATTGTCGACGTCATCAGCATATTCAATGGAAAAGACGTCAGCAAGGACATTCCAGCCCTGGATGATGTGACAGCGAAGTTCAAGCAAGTCACCAGCAATGGTAATGCTGGATTCCAAATTGTGATGACGACAGAGAAAGACGGTATTCTTGTATCTGGCACGGACGGGAATATCTATCTCGTCGCCTCGAAAGCGGATTACGATTTCAGTGCGCCTTGGGCATCAGTCGACAAATCTCTTGGTATTCTGAACATGGATACATTTGGGCGTTTGATTGCTTATACCAGCAGCACAAGCCAGGGTGCAGTGCTTGATCTTATCGTGGCCGATCCGGAGGTCATGCCTAAGGGTGCTTCTATTGCGTGAGTCGAATTCCCTATGAAATGTGGCTTTGCTAACATTATCTGATAGGGGGCTTGCTGAGGTGAAGGATCCAAGTAAACAGGAGAGTGTCGGACCGTATACTGTATTCAGGGGAGTCAAACCTAGAACACTACTGGACGGGACGCCTTCAGCGTACGGGCTCTATGCGCCCACCGTTTGCCTGGGTACCGGGGGCCTGCGGCTTTTGGGTACTTCATTTGTGATCACAGATAAACTAGATGACAAGGGTGATGTTGTGATCGAGGATCCAATGGGCTATCATACGTCAGACAGGAACCTTTTTGGGGATCCTCGCAAAGCGCTGGAACGAGGCTTGGATCATTTGGGCTACGACATAGCGAACTGTCGCAGCGTCAAGTTAACACATCTTTGAGTTCTTTAAACACTCAAGTTCGATTTGACATTTATATACCACTACAATATATCAGGCTATCTTCGAACTTTATCTTACTATAACTTCCATTGCAGCCTATTTGTTGTGATATGAGGCTGGTGCAGATCAGGAACCAAGCCGCACCGTCGGAATTAGCTCCGAAGTGTCTATACAGACGACCAAGTTGATTGGAAATCAACTTGGCTAATTGTTGTACATATAGGTTCATGTATCCCTCTGAAATAACAAGTCAATTAATACCTCTGAACAACAACAATTTATCTTGTCGGGAAGCGCTACTATGAGCCGGCCTTTCCCTCAATTGTAACTTCGCTTTCGTGACAATGAAAGTCACCCTCAGGTTTGACAAGAGCCGTTACGAAAATCCGCCCTTTGTCCGACTTAGTAACTGAAACACCAGAAAGCCTAGACCTGCATCTCCGTGGAACTACCATAGTTGGCCGCTAGCATCGTTTCGAGATATGAGGTCCAGCAATTGTCGACCGAATACAATGGTCGACAGAAAAAGGGTCAGTCTTTGATGGGCTGTTCACTACCGTACTGCACCACTTAATTATTGATGAGATATTTTAATTGCGTACATAAAGCAGTCACAAATATGGCTGCGGAAGACCCCCCCCCATGGCTACTGCAACCAGGAGATGAGAGCATGGGCATTCAACAATGATTCACCAAATACGCATGGAGCTACAGAAATGCGGGAGATCTCAAGATCCAACTCATCTTAGCCTTGCGCTTTGGCGACTGCCAATGTGATTATTCTGGCATTTAAACAGAGATGGTTATGAGCCTCATGCTAGATGGTGCAAAGAAACTCCAGTTCACGGGTGCCGAAAATAAACGCTAATAGTCAAGTGTAGAAGGAGAAACGCATATATCCCACGCTTTGTTATAGACCAATGATTATCAGTCAGGAAGGAACCCAAATGACACTCACAAGCAACGAGAAACGTGCTCTGTCCAGGCAGCAATGCCGAGAAGTTCTGGCAGCTCACATTCGTATGACACCTAAGCAAAGAAAGCACCAGACGTGGTTGGCGTCTAACGACATAATTAGATGAGCGATTAGGTCTAACTGTCGCACCGAACCGGGTCCGATTACAGCCCTCTGCAGCAGACGGCTACGCATGGTCGGTGTCAGATTCTCAAAAACGCCTATTGAAAACAAATTTAAGCAATGGGATGGTTGGCCTCTACCAGGCTATACGTGATGCACTTGGGTGTTCGATCGAAGCTGTTAGTCCGCAGACGTTGCAGGAATTTGATGCAGGCTTTGATAGAGAGATGAGCGCCAAGGTGAGCCACCTACGTTTACAGAATGACAAAATGCTAAAAGATCAAAGTGACCGAGCCCACCGAAGCTTTCTAAGCCACCAGAGACACCTTCTGGGGGTGGCTCTTTCACGGTCACTATTCAACGACTGGAAAGCGCAAACAAGGAACTTGCAGCTGAGCTTGCACGTGCCAAAGCCTGCTCGGAGGATTTGCTCAAGGAAAAGCTGGAATGGGAGGTAAAGTATCGAAAGATTGACGGGGAACTCGACGCCCAGCCGGTGTTTGGTGAAACAGTGAGAGAGCGAGCTGGTTCGCGTGGGAATGGGCGTTACGGAAGCTATGAAGATATTGCAAGACCACCAGTTTCCAGAAAGAAGCGAATCATGCGCACAAGAAGAGATATAGGTTTTCATCAGTTGTGCTGTTGCCTCTTCTTTCCTGTACCAGGTGGTGTTCTGTTTTCCCCTTCTTAAACTCAAGGCTGCAAATCTGTTGGTACAGTAAGCCATCCTATTATACCTAATGAAGCCTTATATTTACCACTACAAACAAGCCCTTTTTTTGCATATGCTTTTAGCATGTTGTCACATTCTTGAAGCCTAATATGAGTTGAAGATTCTGTATCATATGTAATGTATAGTAGTCATGTCCCAGGAATAAATATGTGCATTGAGGTCGTAACTGTTGTTGTTCGGAGGTATGAATTGACTTGTTATTTCAGAGGGATACATGAACCTATATATACAACAATTAGCCAAGTTGGTTGGAAATCAACTTGGTCGTCTGTATAGACACTTCGGAGCTAATTCCGACGGCGCGGCTTGGTTCCTGATCTGCACCAGCCTCATATCACAACAGTAACTGATGTCTACGCCAGGTTGCTATGGCATATATTTCTTGTCCACTGCGATGACACCATAAATTCTTTGGCGACAAGAGGTAGCGCTAGTGAACGGCAACACTATCAAGAGACAAGAGCCGTGGTTATCCTCATACACTAGCCCCTCTTCTCATAGAGTGTAATATATGAAAGACAGGAAACGAACTTTGCCTCAACTGCGGGCCGGAAAGTTGATATCGTAGTGCGAGGTCTTGTTTACGATATTCACCATAAGTTTTAGTTCTGCCTCACCTTTCAAGGAAGCAAAAAAGCCGTCCTGGTTGCTCAGCTTTGGTCTTCACGATAGGTCAGGCCGACTTACCAGCATCAATTCGTCCAGTTCGACCGTATCCAGCCTGTGTGGGAGGTTCTGAGCCTCTGGGCTCCACGGAAAATCAGGGTCGAATTTCTCGTTCTTTTTCATTAATCGTTTGACAATCTCCGACAATGCGGTCAGCTTCAGCGTAGCCGCATTCATGTCCTCAGGATCGATGCGGCAACTACGTTCCACGCCAGCTAATGAGATGCGGTAGTGTTAGAGACTGCGATGGGTTCGCTGTACATTCACTGACTCACCGATCCTGACCCCACCAGACCCCGTAAACAAGACCTCGTCGTTGGTGAGGGTGGCAAGTGCTCTATCGCAATCGCGGAGATACCTGATTCCGATAAGGATCTACAGAGGGTCAGAATTGGTGTCGAAGTGGGCTTGTCTCTCCACGAGCGACAGAAACAGGTAGGTAACATACTGGCCACACGATCGAGGCAATCTCGGTCTCATTTAGGGTGTACTTAGATCCTAGGATCTGGGACAATGAGCATTCGACCGGCTCCCACACTAGGAACGAGTAATCCTCATTAGACCTCGCTTTGGGTCGGGTTTGGGTACGACTTCAGGAACCATACCCATGGGTCGGGTATGGACCCAAAACCCAAACCCAAACCCACGGGTTTACGGGTTCTTGGCGGGTACCCGCGGGTTACCCGCCAAGAACCCGTTGCAGCATAACTATCCTAAATAGGCCGTGCCAAGATGGATAAAGCTGCTGATTAAGTCAATTAAATTACGGTTATTTACCTCTGTTCCAGTCACGTCTGCTGTTCTTCCCCGAAAGCCTCTCTTTCTTTTGTGAAATTTCAGGAAATTGCCTTGTTTTCAGAATAGTAAGTCGTGGTAATGCTATAGACATTGCTCTCGGCGTTTTTCTATATAATTGTGGTAGTGAAAAAAATGCTTGTTGGAATACTGCTCTGTAGATAGGAAATATATATATGAGACGTGCAGTGAACTCAGTGGATATTTATAACAAAGGCATCAAAGTTCTGACGGCCGTCACAAAAAGGGTGCTATAGACCATAAGCAATCGCACTAGTACTTTTGACGGCCGTCAGTTAATACGCTTATTAAGTTATAGTGTTCTACAAAGCCTTCTATATACCGTACAAGCTTTTTTCGATGGCCGTCAGTACTTCGGGACCAACTTGAAGGGAATGTATTAAGTGTAGCGGGTAACCTATGGGTTTATGGGTTCTTGGCGGGTAACCCGCGGGTTACCCGTTCTGCATGCACGCGATAAACCAATTAACATGCCTTTTCTTCTTCCTGTGTAGGCCTTTATTGATATATCATCTTTTTGTCTTCGAAGAACAGGGGTATCGCGAGGCCCCCAAATATAAGTCTACGCGTTTTAGAATCTTCTGTAAGTCGTCTAACAGTCATCAGCGAGAAACCCTTCAATGTGTACAGTCCCTAATGTCTCAATTCACTAATGCCTACGCATCATCTGCGTATGACATAGACCTCCCACTACTAGATAACCTTCCAATTCTTCCTTCGGACGACCTTACCCCTGATCCATCGATTAGTCAACAGGCATTTCCTCCGGTCGCAAGCTCCGCAATCGACTCCGATTTCACACTACAAACCTTCTTGTCTCCAATTCCACCCAACCTCGAGACTGTTCGACCTAACCGTGTCACTCTATATGTGGTATATACTAAAGAAATGACTATCGAGTTCGTACAATGGTGGCTACAATCAGACTTTGGAAGAAAGAAGCGCCTACGCTGGGACTCACGGCACTTCTCTGATGTTTGGGATCATTTTGACCAGGTAGCCAGGGCTACTAATGGGGAACCGAAGGTAATGTGTAAGCTTTGCAAGGCTATTCTAAACCACCCAGGGCTTGGTGATGGGACTTCAACCATGAAGAAACATGTTGCAAGCTGCGGTGTAAAGAAGAGAGGCCCAAATATTAGGCAATTCATGCAAGCGGTATAATACCCTCTTTATCCTTATATACGTCGATTTTAATGATTTCTCAAGGCGCCAGTACCTTCTACCGATACCCCGTTCAGCCAAGAAAAATGGGAATCATGTCTTCTTCGGTTTATTACTGAATCAAGACTACCATTCCAGCTCCTAGAGCACGCAGGCTTCCGGGATATTATAGCCATGGCCCAAAGAGCTCCTAAGGATGTCAATATTCCGTCTGCAAAGGTAGCACGGAGTCGACTACGCACTACAGTCTTCGAACGCCATCGGAAAATACTCGAGAGCTTGCCCGAAGATGGGAAAATCTCAATTGCCCTTGACTGTTGGACGTCCCCTTTTGCCCAAGCATTCATGGCAGTCACTGGATATTTCATTGACAAAGACTGGAACTATCGAGAGCTGCTTCTTGGATTTGAACCACTTCGTGGAGCACATTCTGGTGCTAATCTTAGTGCTATTCTACTTCAGCTTCTACGGAATCATAATCTGGCCGATCGGGTGCTTACCATCACTACCGATAATGCATCAAACAATAACACATTAGTGGCAAGTATTCAAGAATCGGTTCAGTCTCTTGATCTCGGTAATAGCACAGCAATCATTCGAGTTCCATGTATGGCCCACGTTATACAATTAAGTTTGAAGCAACTTCTCGGACAGATGAAGGCAGAACCAAAGAACAACACTGCCCAGGCCGAATGGACTGAATCCCAGGAACAGTCAGTTCGGGCTAGGCATCAGAAAAGGGAGATTATTGACACTCTGAACAAGGTTCGCCCCTGATTAATCTAGTAGATGTCTAATTCTAACATCGCATTAGCTTCGGGGCCTAGCGATCTTCATTAACGCGAGCCCCCAACGTCGTGAAGCTTTCCTGTCTCTTCAGACGGGTTCGAACGCTCTTGTTCCAATACAGGACGTCTGTACGCGCTGGAACTCGACATTCTTAATGCTTCGCCGAGCTAAACGACTACAATCCTACTTAATTGAATTCTGTTCAAAGTATGGCCATCCCCACCTCCAGCTTGATTATGAGCAATGGCGTCAGATTGATTATCTACTCCTAATTACACAGCCATTCTTCCGTTTTACGACTGCACTATCAAAGACAAAGGATGTCACTATCCACCTGATCTTTGCAATCTACAATAAGCTCTTTGATCATCTTGAAAAGTCAATCAGGCAGCTTGTAAGGAAGAATATCGCCTGGAAAAAGCTTATGCTCACTGCTCTCCGCGCAGCCGAGGAAAAGTTAAGGCAGTACTATAGTAAGACGGAGGATATCCATGGTGATATCTTTGCTATTGGTACAATGCTTGCTCCGCACCTAAAGCTCCAGTTCTTTCGAAGTAGAGAATGGGGTGGTGGGCCTGAGTTAGTGACTCGATATCGACAGAGCTTTGAGGACTTCTTTGAACCGTATAAGCAACGTCGGTTAAAAGAACAAACTAGCAGTGATCAAGAGCCTACTACGCAAGGCTTAAGCCTAGATCTTGATCAAATGTTCAGCCTCAACCAGGTATCTCAAGCTTGTCAGCAGAACGAACTTACAACATATCTTGATGGTGGTAAGTATACCTAGTCTTTATATTGTCAAACTTGGGTTAATCAATGTTCGTTAGCAACTACTGCTACTATGCCAGTTCGCGCGTTCTGGAAGGAGCACCAGGCTACATTTCCTATACTTGCAAAGCTCGCACGAGATATTCTCTCGATTCCTGCGACTGGCGCGGGCGTTGAGCGGCTGTTTAATACAGCGCGGGATATCTGTCACTATCGTCGCGGCTCACTGAAAGCTACAACAATTCAGGAAATCATGTTGTATCGTTGCACGACCGAGTTTGAGGTCCAAGAAGACGTGATTGCTGTCTGGAAGGAGTACTTTTCTGAAGGCGATATAGAAGCGGATCATGAGGAGAGAGATAGTCCAGATGGACAACAGCTAGAAGATACAATTGAGCCAATTAGTGATAATGAGGAGGGGAACGAGGATGATACACAATCGGTTGTTATTCTTGTTCAAACCGAAGCAGCTGTGCAAGGTCATTCAGAACGTTCTCTTGGAAAGAGGAGAAGGAGTATTGCATTGCAACAGGATACTGAGGGCCGTAAGGATGATGAAGAGCTAGAAGAGGATGATGTACCCCTACCTGAGACCCAACAGCGTGTCTCAGGAAGATCTCGAAAACGCCCACGGGTTTATGACGATCAGTTTATAGAGTATTAGTCTTTGATGAAATTGAAGCTATTCACACTTATTTTGCTATCCAGTATCTGTAAACGTGACTACCTGTAAGCAGAATACATATAAATACAGCCAAAAAAATGCACAATTTGTGTATGTCACGAGATTCTCCATGTTTGCACTGTTTATTAACCCGTGGGTAACCCGTGGGTCGGGTCGGGTATGACTATCAAAACCCATACCCGACCTCGGGTATAGACTTTGGACCCAAAACCCGCCAAGAAATGGGTATGGGTCGGGTAAAACCCGCTTACCCACGGGTATGGGCGAGGCCTAATCCTCATGTTGGTAATGACAAATGAGCTGTGGGAAACTGCGGTAAGAGAGGTCGTTGACAGTCTTGACCAGCGACTGTATCGAGGCTGGCTCCGCCTTGAGCTGTTGAATGTGGACCAGCTCCATTTTGTTCTCTCTATTCTGGGCCAGAAATATTCCCTTTCGCGGGAAGATTTCAATGCCTTTGATATACACCGACCAAGGATTTTCGCTCAATGGCTGGAGACTGGACGTCGGTATTTCTGAATTTCGCTTTCGCTTCCGAATTTTGACCAATGGCTTGGTCGGAGGTTTGATTTTAGGGAGGGTGGTTGGAGCAGCCACTTCTTTCGTCCGCTCTACAGATGCGGTGGACGCACTATCATTGCCACCAGAAACGGCTATTGTGGGGAAAAACATCGTTTCAGGCTGAGTGGCCTTGGAGCGATTGTCATCCACTGTGGCAAACTTTTGTTGAAACGTTTGGGGGGTGAGTGGCTTGGTTGGTTGGAGGGTTATATTCCTAATCCGAATGCAAGGTCCTGTTCTGCTATATGGGTGCTGTCAAAAGCCACGAGATGTTACTAATGTGTATATTTCAACAGCCGTTTATCTAGCATTTCACAAAAGGGATGATGCCCTACACTGTACTATTAATACAGTCTCTAGTGATTGATCGCTGATGAGTGGGGCGTCAATAGGGCAAGTTGTCAATCAACCACGGCTTAGCTGATGTTGATGGCCTCAAAAGGTATCCTTATCCTTAGCCAGTCTCTGTGGATAGATCTTCACTTGGTTTCTTATTCTTTTTTGCGGCTGAGGCACATTAGGACCACCTCACACGACTTACATCTGTCGAGTTATGCATACCCAAGAAATATTCAGGACCATGCACCTTCCACAACCAGCAAAGCAAAATACATAAAGCAAATGAACAAAGAAACACAGTCAATTCCAACTCCCGTTGTTGAGGTCGTCAATCGATTGTGGCCAATGGAGGAGTTAATTCGTAACTTTTGATTATTTTACGCAGGGTGCAATCGGCGAGTACGTAAAGTGGTTCACCTGTTTAAACAATTGACGTGGTCAAATGTGGATGCTTGCAGTGGAGCCATCCTTAGGTCAACGGTCATGTCTGGAAGGCTACCCGGTCAAAAGGTGATGTAACTTTGTTTAATGTAGACTTGACTAAGTATTCTTTCTTTCAGACCCATGAGATGAGTTAAACGTCTAGTTTGAGTGGTGAAAATGAACTGCAACTCTTTTCCACACTTGCGGGCGTGTAAAATGGACCTGGGCAGTTAGATGAGTCCTGATGGTCCGCAGGAATTGACTCACCATGTCCTTATGTGCTCCTCTGATACCCTCACATAAAGTACGTGCTCTCACATGCTGCCGTCTATTTTATTTTTTTGTTATGATCTCACATTGTACAAACACAGAATGGCACCCTGGCAAGTTCCTCCTCCTCTTCTTCTTTCTCTTGTATTTCGTCTGGTGCTAGAGAAAAGAGTCGCTTTAGCTTTGGCCGAAAACCTCCTGCTCATTGGTCTCATACAACGTGCAGAGCTCTCTTGGACGACAATTCTGGTGATTGTGACTGTCTTTGTCGCATCGGCTTTCTTCCAGACTCAATCGGAGTACGCCGGTTCAGTGCAGAGCACTGATTCAGGTACAGCCCCACGTGGCTGCCCAGTCAAGATTTGGGATAGCAGTAGCGGGTGCCGGACGGATACTCTTCGTCAATGGAATCAAAAATCAAACTACGGTCCTCTCCGAAAGGCTCAGGTTCCAGAGAGTGATGGGGATCTCCACGCCGGGAAGGCCTTTCACGGCCGGGTGACAATGTTCCCGTGCGACCTTCGACACCTGCGTCGGTCCGGCTTCAAAAACGACTATCACCATTCGTATCTCTACGTTGGTTACCCAGTCGGTCTCCGAGCCTGCTATAGCCCCTTGGTCACTGTTGAGCCACCGTTTCGACCTCGGTTCTTGCTGCCTACCAAAAAAGCATGGTTCAGAATTAGACCCGAAGATCACGCCTTCAACGGCGGCGCAAACCTGTCGATGACTCAAAAGCTAGAGGAATTTCTCTTGTCCGAGGTGGGTGTTAGTCGGGGATTGATGGGTGACTATGCACTAATGCTTTACAGGGAGAGGATCCTGCCGAATGGCCATATGCGTACCTTCTAACGCCGCCGAGTGTCACTTGGCAGTTGAATAATCCACTTTCGTTCTGGTACCTGTAAAACAGCAAAAGAGAGCTCACCGCAATGATTGTGCAACTACAGACGTCGTATGGCGAGCGTAGGCTGTGGCTCACGCGGAACTGCCGAACGACTACGTCCCGGAATGGCCCTTATTGCTTTCAAGGCGAATTTAAGAAGGATCTACAAGTCTCACCATTTACACCCACTACGGCAAGCTATGTTATTCATTCGTCTGATCCTTGTGGCAACTCCCTTGGAGAAGCTGAAGATCATGGTCACGTTGAAAGAAGGGAACGAAACAGTCATGCACGGTGTGGTCAACTCTACCGGTCTGCCCCTTGACGCTGCCACTGCGACCGTAGGTTCTTCTATACGTTTCCTCGTGAGTTGGTGGTGGGTTCCAATGTGCAGTGTGGTGGTTTTCCGGATTCTCTTCAAAGCGGCAAAGATATATTTGACGCACAATAGGAAGGAGCTGAACATCCAGACAAGAGCAGAGAATACCAAAACTGCTATCTCCAAGTCTGCACGGCTGTCCGAAAGGTGAGCCTTGAGACTTGGGTACCTTTTCTTGAAAGAAAGATCCATGATTGACCGCCCCAAAGGTCATTAGAAACATATTTTTCCATGGTCTTGTCCTCTATCGTCCGCAGCCAATCTCACATAAAACGTGTCAAGTACATAACGTCGGGCGAGCACTGCACGAGAACTCGAATCATGTACTCACATCAGCAAGATTCGCGCGAGAGCGGTCCACACCACCCCAACGAAGAGCCAATCCCGGTAGCCCTCGAACAAATTGTCTTTCGCGTCAACACTCCGACCTTCTTTTCCAGATTTTTTCACTATAAGTCCCCATTTGCGGCCATTCAAAGTGAACTACTTGATGATGAGCGAACCCGTACGGTGTGGTCCTCTCACCCACGGGAGTTTGCCGCTTTGTTTCCGCACGACATGGCAGATACCTGCCGCCAGCCTCTGAATTGGCGTTGGAGGATCATATCCATTCTACGGACCGCTCCAACGAAGACCAACTTTCCGCGTCAATCAGCGTACCCAGCATGCAGAGGAATTTCTTTGACCGACCATTTGATTATGCAGCAATGTTCGAACCGACAATTTCGCGATTATCGACGTGCTCTGATCCGACTTTTCCTTGGGCACTGGATTGGTGGTTTCTCGATTGGGACCATCAAAGAGGGAGATTTTGAGCTTATTGGATTAAGCCGGGACGCTATCTTGATGATTTATGAAGCAGTTCTCAAAGCTGGGCTTGTTTCATTAGGTATCTTCGTCGCTGGGGATTGTGCCATCGAAGCGACCACGTTTACCAATCTACTTGTTCAAATGCTTGGTGTGGCAGGGTTAAACATTTGGGCATGTTCGAGATCTGTATTGTGATATTTGCCAGCTGCGTCCATTGAGCGTCCAAAGACGTGTAATATTTGCTAGTTCATTTCTAACGAATGAGCTAGGTAATCCTTTGTGGAGTGGTTAGGCAGCGCAAGCGTACAATAAGTAAAAGCCGTGACAAAGCTGGGCCGTGCTCCCAGGAATACAGGCTCTCCTGATGCTGTGAGGATCCCACGGGACTATTATAATCTTGTCTGTAGGTACAAGGCGTACGAGGAAGCGAAGGACGGCAGCTTCCTCGCACTCCCAGACACACTAAGCGGGTCCCATATATCATTGCTCCTCCACTAACCACATATGCCTCGTGTATACTACTCTGACAGAACTGGATCCCCATCCTAGGAAGAATGTGGGTAAATGGTAATCGAAGGAACCCAGTTTGTAGGCTTTTAGAAGATGCACGCACTTAAATGCCATGTAAAATCAACGGGGTTGAACTTGCTCCTGGTAACGTTCTAGACCTTCGTATTCGTCCCAGCCCGTCTGGTCCATTTCCTACTCCTAGGAGTTGCATTGTACTCATACTGGCTCCTGGGGACTTCATTAATTGTTCCTAGGAGATCTAGTCCTGTATTCTCATTCCTAGGAGTCTGACATGACCTTACCTTTCACTCCCAGGAGCGTCAACCCTTGGCAATAACAAATTTGTTTAATATATATTAAATGTATATTGGTGCCTAGGAGCTCATCCATGTCTTGCCAGAAGCCTTACGTCTACATACGCTCCTAGAAACCCCGCTTATGCTAGCTTCGTACGTGAGAGCCTCAAAGCTTGGTTTCCTAGAGTTATTCCTGGGAGCCTAAGTTTTTGTCTGCCGGCGTTCCACGTCCGCTGATGCCTTCCTTTACAACGGTACATATAACGGGGCAAGGGCCTTCCAATCTATAGATTTGAAACGAAGGAAAAAGCAAGATGCCGTCATACAGTGCTAGTAAGAACGGGCAACTGGAAGAAGTTTGGACTTGCCTGCTGTCGAGACGCATTGCTCCCAGGATCATTCAAATACGTAGCATAGCTCGCTCTAGCGGGCCATGTGGTAAAATAGGCTGGCTGATAGAGCGCTAAGTTAACAGAGCCAGGAAATTGACCGAGATCAGCTTCATAAGGAATAAAGCTTGACCAGAAAGATGCGTCTTTTTTTTTTTTTTTCTTCTCTATCATTTCTTGTTATGCCCTTCTTTCCATGAGCATCGAAGCAATTACTTAAACACAATTTGTCCAAATGACCTTGCGCTCCACAATATCTACCAAATACACCATTCGGATGCGCCTTGCCATTGCGTTCTTCGCTATCGTAGGGCTGGCCTTTGCCAATCTCAACTCGGCCATGGCGTGCTTCGCGGCTATTCTGCGGGACCGAGCGAAGCCGAAATCATCACTCCCAGCAGATTCATTTCAGACAGCACATTCAGGAACCTGATGGACAATGTCCTCGTCGACGTCCTGATTGCAGCCGTCATATCCACCTCGTTTGCTATTACGGGAGCTGTGTTTGCAGGCTACCCCAGATGGCTACGAGAGCAAGATAAAATCTGGATGTACGTCGGGTGCTTTCAATGCATGCTGAGCCTGGTCATTCTATCCACCGGGGACTATCTGGCTGGCCACGTGCATGGCTTTCAAACCTCCTTTGAAAGATTTAGCGGTAATGACAACTTCCAGTATTACAACATCATGTACTATGGAGGGGTTGCTCAGGCGGCTTATGGGTTTCTGGGGATATTCATAGCCATTGCATCCTTTGTCGCTTTTTTTGAGATCTGGCCGTCACGAAAGAAACATTCAGCCAATCGAAGCAACACGGAAATCAGAGCAGTTTCAGTGAGGTGGGTCCTCTCAGATTTAGTGTGTTCCCAAGAAAGGCATTAGGGGCAAGAATGAGCTGGTCCATAGTGAGATACAGCCATCGGTTTGATAGATGGACGGCGTGAGTAGATATGGATCATGCATGATTGAATCATTGAAAAACTGTGGCAGATAAAGGCCTGTAAACAGGAGAAGGTCACTTGTTGTTGCACGGCAAAACGTTCATTTGTCCTAACGTACTATGTTGGTTTTATATCAAATCAAATATCACAAACAACGTTTGGTAGCGATAATTTTTTTCAGGTGAGACTACGAGGGTAAAGCCGAACCATCATTGAACGGGAACCATATCCCCTTATCATAAAGAGAATTTACTGTCACTTCACAATTGCATCTTTACTCTCTTGCGCATGTGCCTCTTGGGAAGCTTTCTTTATCCATAATATGACATCGCTACTGTCTGATCAAATCAATCTGTCTTTCATAAAAGCGATAGGCGATCCCCGGCTTCGTCCGCAGTGTATCTGGGTTAGTGAAAATGGGCTAGTCTGCCCTAATGATGTCTCGATGGACAGTCGCAACCTCGCTAGCACCGAGCTACTTGCATTTGGGGATAATACCTCTAAACCCGCTCGCAGGAACATCTTGAGGATCGCCAGTTTTCTATTGTGTGAAGATTGCAAGGTTCATGAGATCAAATATCCAGAAATCGTTCGACAGCTCGGTGAAAAATATCAACAGTCAAGCCGCGCATTGTTACCTTGTGACAGTCTTCTATGCCTCTACAGTATCAGGAAGAACTGAGTTTCTCCAGCAAGGCATACAACGAGATCTTTTGAGCCCCGGATGAGCAGATGATGATAGCTAGGAAGGGTGGGATGACTTTGAATGAATGAAATGCTGTACAATAGCTCAGGAAAATACAATTAATTTCATGCCCAGAACAAAGGGATTTGACGTTGTGCTTCAAACAGTGAAAGCGTGGACTTGGCTGACTAGATCTTCGGTAGCTAGGAAGGCCCCTATAGATGCAAGACCACGTAATGTACTGCTATGGCTACTGCATCAGTCTCATGTAGCTCCAAAGCTACCCCTCTAGAAACAATGCATCTTTACTGTTCACATTCACCGAAAAGAGCATATCGCCATTCGTTCCAAGTCAAAGAGCCAGGCCTTTCGTAAGCGCTACAGCAAGTCAGGTCTCCTCTTCGCAGTCGGATAGTGCATCAAGCGAGGACGGAGATTTGATTTGAAACTGTGATCTTTTAGTTCCAATTCCTAGATTGTGCATTATATGAGACTTACATCGGGCGATGACGCGCAAGAACCCCTCGTGCTTCCGTCTTTAGTAAATGGGCCGCTCTCCAAAGTGGATGCGAGCAACAAATTTCTCGGTGAACTTGGCCTGGGCTTGATTTCTTCTGTTGGTTGGAATAGGGGATGTCCTTCCAAAGCCATATGTAACCGGAAAGTGAGGATTTGCGTGCCAAGTATGAGTTTCTGGTCCACCATGATGCGATTGAATAGGGGCGGTTCTTTGCGAAGGAGGAGATGTAGAATTAAGTTGAGGGCAAAGGTGACTCTTATATTCTGCGGATACCACTGGCTGCATCATGAAGATTGAAGCAGTACGAAAATTCCCTAGTTGCTGCGACTGCTCTCATGTCATTTGTACTCAGGGTTGGTCGATGCTCCCAGGAACAAAGTTCGTGAAAAGCATCCGTTCATCGCTCTGTCCTGTTAAGCGAGGGCTTGCGGTGTTTGCATGCCAAAACCAGCTGGCCTAGAAGATCACCAAGCATGAGGTCTACTGTACCTGGGCGCAGCAGAGGAGACGTAATGGCTACTCGTGAGCTGCAGAGAGCCAACGTGCGAATGTGGTTGCTGCCTGCCCGGGTTGAGCGTACATCCAATGCGTTCGAATTTTGCCTGGGTTAAAAGAAAGACAGGAATCGCCTCCGTGGGCAACTTACATCGGCCCTGAAAGCCAGTGCAATATACCAACACAATAGAAAGATCATCTGAAACGGCCGGTGCCGTATCTTCCATGTCTGACAGAACGAGGAGATGTTGCAATTCAAAGGGGAGGGAATCCTACCAGGGTACATAGAAATCCGTTCTGGATAGCCCCTGCCAGACTGGGGTTGCACCTAAACGGGGACACAACCACGGAGTCGATTTGACTGAGGTTCATTTGTCACACTCAGGGTGAGCTCATTATTGTTCAGTGATGTGGAGCAGTGCCGATTTGACAATGGGCAAAGAGGAAATAAGCAAAAGATGAACAATACCCACAATGACTTTTAAGGGGAAATAGATGAACAGATACTTATCCCCGACTTGCTAGCCCTTGTACCACGTTGCCCCTAGTGCGTGGTTCGGTGGCTGGTTAATTAGCCAGTACCTTGTTTATTACATTATTCCGTGATGTATTTTCTTTCCGTTCCGGGCCGACCACACCATATAGACCTTTCGGGTAACGCTGATGCAGTTTCCTAGCCAGTCAGCTCACCCTGAATTCATCTACATGCCTTGGACGTCGCCCAACAGGACGACTATGGACAAACGAAAGACCTTGTACAGCGACGTCGTGATCATCGGAGCAGGCTTGTCGGGGATCAACATGGCATGTCAGCTCCAACGGCAACTACATGTTAGTGACTATGTGATTTACGACCGCGCTCAAGAAATGGGTGGAGCGTGGGCAGCCAATAATTGTGATGTTTCTTGGTTCCTTCTGAATATTTCTTGTTAACAAGTAGCAGATCCAGGATGCAGCGTTGATATACCTGGCGCTTTATATTCGCTGTCATGGTTCCCGAATCCAGCCTTCACCAGCCTATTCCCTTCCCAGCGGGAAATTTTATCCTATATCCAGCGTGTCGCTCGCGCTAACCATATTACTGCACATGTAAGACCTCAGACTGAATGGGAAGGTGCCCGGTGGGTAGAAGCGTCGAGTAGATGGCAGGTCTATCTCTGCGATTTGACGACAGGAGAAGGATTCCTTCACGAAGCCAAAGTGTTGGTTTCTGCTGTCGGGGGTTATACGAACCCCAAATTACCCGTTCTACCTGGCTTGGAGCGGTTTGAGGGCCCCGTCGTGCACACTGCCCAATGGGAGAAGGAGTACGACCTCCGCGGCCTCAATGTGGCCGTGGTAGGTAATGGATGTATGTTCAGGCCCTATGAGTCGTCTAGCAGACCGTTGGATTAACAGGCCTGCAGGCTCCGGCTCACAGCTAGTTCCTGCCGTGATCGACCAAGTTCACAGCCTGACGCAGTTCATTCGGGCAAGTGTTCCATTTCAGCGAGCCTATTTGAGTGATTCTGACACTGTCACGTGGGAGTAGAGCCCACAACATTACGTGCCGATGCCCATGGGCAATTATCGATTCGGAAAAGCATGGCGCTTTTGTTTCTCCTACATTCCGCTTATCTTGCTTCTTATCCGTTGGGGGGTATTTTGGATCCTTGATAAAACACTTGGGCAATTTTATAACGATCCCAAGGGGGACAAATTGAGAGAAAAGAGAGCTTTTCATAGTCAGAACTACATTACGGAGAACGCGCCTGGTTAGTATGTGCAAAAGCTGTCGCCGCTCTGATGCTGACAGATCCATTCTAGAGAAATACTGGCCATTGCTCATCCCAAGCTATGACCTGGGATGCAGAGTAAGCAGGTGTTGGAAGTACCTCGGGTCGCCACTAACATTGTGTACAGCGAAGAATCTTGGATAATAACTACGTTCGGACGCTTCGCAACCCTAGGATGAAGCTGACCAAGGACACAATTGCGCAAGTCGGCCCGAAAAGTGTGATGGCAGAGTCAGGCAGGGAATACCCCGTCGATTTCATTGTGAGTTGCCTTTGATAGATGTACCCATTTGTTATCCTAATCACAGAACGTAGATATTGGCGACAGGATTCGAGTTCACGCAATGGAAGGCCGACGCCGTGATAGGCAGACAAGGCAAATCGTTGAAACAGCACTGGGACGATCAAGGCGGCATTGGTGCTTACAAGTCCGTGGCAATGAACGAGTTCCCCAATATGTTCTATCTGCTGGGCCCAAATTCAGGCAGCGGACACACATCTGTCCTTTTTGCGATCGAGTGGTGAGTGTTGTTCCTGATAATATTGCGGTGGTCCGTGTTGACACTCTTTACAGCTCGGTCAACTTGATTATTAGGATTGCACGTCCTATACTTCAGCGACAAGCATTAATTGTCGAGGTGACCAAAGGGGCTGAGGTCGAATGGTGTGACACAATACAGACTGCTCTCAGCAAAACGGTGTTGACGCGCACCTGTTCCAGTGTCAGTTTTACTGCGGAACATCGACTCGGTTTTGGGCCACCTGCTAACCCTGCCCAATGTAGCAATACACCGACCCGAAAAGTGGATGGAACTTCTTTTCATATCCTTTCAGTTCATTGTGTTTCTGGATTGGCACGAGGTTTCCTACAATGAAGCACTGGGAGTATCGTTAGCCACCCACGGCCACATGGAGCCAGAGCCTTCGGTGCATATGTTCAGCAGCCATGTGGTGGAGGGCACTTCTCTTGTTTTCTTGAGGTTTTTCGTACTTCATGTTTTTGTTGGATCATTTTGGACCATCTCAAATACATCACTGGTGAAACCCTCAATATGCTTTCCGCCACGCTGAACAAGAGTTCAGACCAGGCGTGAAGCCGTCTAGTAGTCGGGTGGGCCATTCTGTGCTACAATTATAGCTCAAAGGGATGAAAGTCTATTTTGCGTCTGTTCTGAAGTAGATCACTGTGTAGGAGCATATGAAGTTCAGTCTGATCATATTAGAATTGACGAGATTGATATGGACGCAGTGGAGAAGAAGCCGCAAGTGCCGGTATTCCGAACAATAGACTATCAGTCGCACAGTTGTGTTCGCTCAGAATGATACGCGGCTTTGATCCCATCAAACCCCTATAACAGAGATGAAAGTGAGCTCACCTGGACCATGGATCGCGCTTCAGACATGACTCCCCCTTCTTTGCCTTCGTGGTTCACGCTTTCTGGCTACTCTTACGAAGATAATGCTGCATCGGCCCAGGCAACATACGACGTAGTTGATTTGCGCTACTTGATCGGCTGTGTGCGCGCAAATGGACATCACAAGTGGTTGCATCAGTTTACACCACTCCCACTGTTCAGCTCGGCAGGTGCGGAGGCACGGCTGCCGGTGGGGTCTCCCCCTTGCTCCTCGCACTTCTCGCACTTTGGTGCCTGCCCGGCCTCCTCCGCGTCCACCCCCTTCACCACCAAGTCAAACATCAGATTAAATGACTCTGCATCTCCAAATCCATGTTTGATTCCCTGCTCTTTGAATAGGTAGTCCATCATGGATCCCATTCGCCGATTAACTTCATAAAGAAGCTCGGTTAAACGGACGATTTCCTCTAGCTCGCTCCTAGATTGGCTGAGCGATTCCCGTATGGCGACTAGCTCCTGCTCGGATCTCGCTTGGCGGCGTTCTGCCTGGAGAGTGCGTGTATTGAGTGCACCAATAATCCGAAGGACTTCCTGGAGACTGGTCAGCGACACCGCGGTCACGAACGAGTACACTTACTGAGGCATCCATGTATGCGGGCGGGGACTGGGCGAAGAGGGAATACGGGATCATTAAACTCCTTGGATATGGGTGTAGAGGACGGGGGGTCTTGAAGTGATAGAACGCTGGGGATACCAATGACAATACTTATAAGTTGTACACTGCCTCACTCCAAAGGTAGCTATGCATCTCTTGCAGACTTCAAGAGTTGAGGGGCAACACTATAGCTCTCATGCGGTATCGAGTGTTCATGATGGCTTTTAATGAGGATACCTAAGCGAGCCTCAGGAAGAACTAGGTGCTATGTTATTTTGTTAGTAGATGTGTTCAAGCTGGTAGCCATCAGTTACAATAGCTCGCAATGCGTTGATTACAAGTTCATGCGATTAGGGATTCCTCTAGTCGACGAGCAGCGCTTTCGATTCGTTGCTCGTCACCGAATTTATTCAACGCTTCCTTGTACCCGGGACACATGGAATGAGACTCCCACTCTCCGAAGTTTGTTTATCAGGGAGCGCCACCCACTTGTTATGAAACTAGAACCCAGGTGCTGCCCTTGTAATTTCGGAATAAGGGCCCGACTCTGTTCCCCTCCGATCCCTATCAACTGTATCAGAAATTTGACATCGCTCTTTACCTACCAACCTCTCCATCCTGCGTCCGGGAAATATTAGCATGAGACATTCCATGTTGAATCATGCTTAGGACATTGTCGAAGGTGGCAAGATGGTTTGGGCTGGAGGTAGTACATGTCGTTGTCATCCGCCGATCGCGTCACGGGGATCTACGTCTTATTCAGTCTACATTTCCTTCGGACCATCCTACGGTTGGTTTCCTGCTAGCGTTCGGAAGGCATGTGCTAGCTCTAGCTAGGATATTACCTTGATGCTTAAGAAGGAAGAGCCGCTCATCCAAAAAGACAGTCAGACGGCCTGCTAGAAAAGGGTAGCGAAATCGACGGTCGCTACATATCATTGCGGAGGGACGGATTGGAGTAATTGTGACTGCATTTTCTGTACATATCGGATAGGTCCCTATGTGGCATAACTAGCCATTGGATACTGTAACATGGGATCTGATATTGCTGGAACAAATGTTCATCTCGACCATGACATGGCCCGAGTTGGACCCACTGTGGGACAGGTGTTTATTTCCCTTCAGCCCGTGAGCCTTGCCTGTCTCGACCGGAAGTTGCAACCAAGGCTTGGAGGACCTAGTAACTAAAACATGGGAACAAATGAACAGACTCGTGAGCAGATTCACCGGCATTCTGTTCTAAGGTAGGAGCTTGGTCAGTTGGACCAATGTTGGTCATGATCTCAATGAAAGAATGCAACCTCTTTCCACAGCACCTGGTTGGCGAGGCTCTACTGATGCTCAGTTCACCTGCCTCAGCAAGTTATGACTTAAATACACGCTAAGCCTGCAGCAAGATCCAACCTTCCACATTTGAACAGTTGACAATCCTGTTTATCCTTGGCACTGGAGAAACCCATTCCCAATACTTTCTTGCAATTAAAGAGATAGTGGGTATTTGGGTAATGGAAAAATCGGTGGACACAACCTAGAGAAAAAAGATTATTCCTCCCGCTGTCAAGCCTGTTTATCTCGCGTATTGCACTTTTTGTTCAACTCTGCCGCTGGACGGGCTGTGGTTATTCTGCGGTCAAACACTCATCATTTTGATGTTCAAATGGCCGCTTCAGGTGCATGCAAACAAATATCCTTAAGGCTGCAAGAGGAAATAACAACCTATTCCACACTAGGTACGCTTTGCTCGTGTAAAAGTGGTGAAGTGAAATGGTGGTTTTGGCCGTGTACCGGTTGATGCCCCAGAATTAGATGGGGGCATACAATCATCTAACGTGGTTCCCGGCGGGTTCGTCATCCCTGCCGGTCCGTCACCCCATCAAATCTTTAAATTTTGTACATTTTTCAAACGCCATTCAAACAACCAAAACACCATTAAATTGACGATTTAAAACTTCTGCAGGCATGTAGTAAACCTATGCCCTTTTCCTCCGCATTTAGAACATGTATTTTGCCGACGTACAGGGGGCAAAATAGGAAGTGTAGGTTCAACCTGGGATTCTAGAGTAGGTGTATGATCAGATATATATCTTACACCAACACCTCCCTCACCACCAACATTGGTAGTAGGATCCAAAACCTCTGTTAAACTACCTATATTAGGCATTCGCTTCTTCGATCTCTCCCTCTTTTTCGTCTGTTTTCTATTTCCCTCCCGTAAACGCTTGATTTCATCCCGCATTAAGATGTGCTCGTGAACTAGCTTAACCGACATATCGTAGAACTGTTGAAGATCACGTTTTGTAGGGGAAGAGATCTTATCAGCAGCTGAACTAAGACCAGAATTGAGCCTAGATTTGCGTTTTTCTAGCTGCTTAGTCGTCCTAGGGATGCCGGTAGAGATATTACTGCCTGATGTTGAACCTTGTGAAACTGGTCGCTCTTGTAGAGGCGGAGATTGAAGACGAATGTTGAGCTTTGATAACACTCGATCGGGGTCTAATGGTACTAAACCAGTAGCTGCGAAGGCATTCTGAACGATAAACTCTTTGAATGAGTCGTCACGAGCCGCTGGAAAGATATCAAGGAAGTCATCTTTTTCGATAGAATCGATGCCTAATCGGGTATATTCCGCAACCCGCGTTCCGTAAGAGCGCTTTAACACAGCAAAACAACCAACATCAAGAGGCTGTAAAAGATGAGAGGCATGCGGAGGCATACAGATTGGTATAATGTTGTTCTCCTGACAAATCTTATCGAATGTTGCTGTAAGATGACTGTCGTGGCCATCGAGGACCAAAAGACGATGTTTCCCTTTAGTCTGACTTGTTGTATGCGGAATAAAGTGTTTTTGGAGCCAATCAACGCCAATTTCATTGCTTGTCCAGCCGTTCGGACTAACGTTAAGAGCCCAATGCTTTGGAAGGTCGTCAAACCATCGTACCATAAAGTGTTTCCCTTTAAAGATAACGTATGGTGGGAGCGCCCGTCCGGAGGCACAAATTGATTCAATAACAGTCACCCATTCACGATTGCCAGGTTGTAAAACGCCCCTCCGACCGGTGTAAAATGACTGCGTAATAACCTTCGTCGTCGCACTGATTCCCATTGCAAACCCCGATTCATCAAAGTTATAGATATCATCCGAAGTGATACCATATTGAGCAATCGTTTTTTCGACAAGGTTAAACCACTCAATAATAGTATTTGGGTCTTCCATTAGGGCGCGTTTGTAGTCATATTTGCGAGAGAATCGAGTAGTGAGCTCAGGATGTCGTTTAATATATTGTGTTGGCCAATTTTTGCCAACGGTCTGGGGGGCATTGTCTCCGCGGTGCTCAAGCAGTAAATTAGCCATATCTCTCAACATCGCGATTGTAAGCGCGGCGCCTCTCTGATCCATAGAGATTAACCAATCCTGAATTGATTCCTCTTCTAGTTGCGTGAATTTATGGCCTGTACCCCTTGCTTCATACAGATTAGGAATGCCTTTCATCCGATCTGCAAGAGTTGTACGGGGGACATCAAAAGAGCGAGCAGCAGCAGCGATCGTGGTAATTCTGCCATTCTGAATAGCCTTGATAGCTAGCGAGATCCTGCCTTCCTGCTCGATGGATTTTTGAGCTTTTTGACTTCGTTTGGGGGGCATAATAGGCGTTTAAAGATCGGTGGTTGGGTAGGGGCAGAAGATTTGAGGTGGGATGACGGATCGGCAGGGATGACGAACCCGCTGGGAACCACGTTAATAAACAATGTATTGCGTAATTAACCAGCCACCGAATCACACACAAGGGGCAACGTGATACAAGGGCTACAAGATGTAGACTAGTGTGTCTTGGCATAAGGGGTAAGAAAGTCAATCGAAGAGCGTAGTGGTTGCACCGGTTTCGGGACGTACTGTACAAGTTCTAGCCCCCAGTGAGCTCGCACTGGGCAGCAGTCCTTGCCAGGCTGCTGGGACGATGGATTCTTACCTTCTCGTGGTGTCCGGTGTATATCCCCGTTGGGGGAGACCGAATTGAATCCGCCGTGGTTGTGCGGTCCGGCCCGGTGCGGGAAGCGACCGCACAACCACACCAAAATCAGGGGATAACGGCATATGAAAACCATCCGACTTCTCCTTACCTGACTCGCACTCGGGCCCGATACTGGTCTTGCATTACCAGTGGAAGTGGTGTCGCCTAAGGAGAAGACAGGACACCCCTGAGCTTGCATACGGTCTGGGATCGCATCGTGCGAGATGCGGCGAGGCGGTAGTGAACCGGTGACACAGGCAGTCAAGCTGATATCGGACAGACCTCGTTCAAGGCCCAGAGGCCTCGTTAAGACTCGAACTCGTTAAGGCTCGGAGAGAGCGCTCGCTGGAGACCTCGTTAAGGCTCAGCCACGGGCAAGCTTCAGGGCGAGTGCTCTTCGGGACACGGGCACCACCGAGACACGGGCACCCTCTTGGGAGACACACGGGCAATCTGGAAAATATTGGTATTTGACTGGTGGCAGTCGGCAGGACTCGTTAAGGCTTCGCCACGGGCAACCCGTCGATCCTGTTCAGACACCGGGGACCAAGCTTGGTTAGTGGAGAGCAACCGACATATACTGCCGGATGGAGCGTATAGAGGACTTTCTGCAAGACACGGTCGGCCTGGCGGAGGGAGACCTCCTCAGGTAACGCGAAACGAGAGTGAAAGCTCTCGCGGGGCGTGGTGTACAATGGCAGCCACTGCGGCAGGGTCGGGGCCTGCCAAGAGACTGTCTGTATAGCCCGAGAGGACGGATGCGCGTGTCGGTGTACAAAAAGCCGGGAGTCAACTACCCCACTCGCACTGGGGGCCTGAGATCGACATTGGTCGGTTGAAGCGGTGTCGTCCTAGTTGGCTCGCCCGTGATGTATGCTTAAGGAGCAAACTGAGAGACACCCAGGGTGAGAGGTGTGGTGAACCTCAAAAGACCAGAAGCCTCATTTATCGGGTGAAAAACTGGGGTAGTGGTCTATGCAAGTAGACCTGTCGAAGCTACTTAATGTCTTTTGGGCCAAGGCATGGAGGCCGATCTCACTGCTCGCAACATTGGGCAAGATCCTGGAATCGGTGGTGGCAGAAAGGATCTCGCACGCAGTGGAGACCCACGGCCTGCTCCCGACCAGCCACTTCGGGGCCCGAAAGCAGCGGTCCGCGGAGCAGGCACTCTTGCTCTTGCAGGAGCAAATCTATACGGCATGGCGTGGTCGACGGGTGTTAAGCTTGATTAGCTTCGATGTTAAAGGAGCTTACAATGGGGTTTGCAAGGAACGACTCCTCCAGAGAATGAAGGCGCGGGGAATACCAGAAACGCTGCTCCGGTGGATCGAGGCGTTCTGCTCGGAACGGACAGCGACTATCCAGATCAATGGGCAGGAGTCTGAGATTCAAACCCTTCCACAGGCTGGGCTACCTCAGGGCTCGCCCCTGTCCCCCATCCTATTTCTCTTCTTCAACGCAGACCTCGTGCAGAGACAGATCGACAGCCAGGGAGGAGCAATTGCTTTCGTGGATGATTTTACGGCATGGGTGACCGGGCCAACCGCCCGAGACAACCGGGGAGGAATCGAAACAATCATCAAGGAAGCGCTCGACTGGGAAAGGAGGAGCGGAGCAACTTTTGAGGCGGAGAAAACTGCCATCATACACTTCGCCCCCAAGACCTACAAACTGGAACAGGACTCGTTTACCATCAAAGGGCAATCCGTTGAGCCGAAAGAGAAGGTCAAGATCTTGGGAGTTCTCATGGACACGAGACTGAAGTACAAGGAACATATCGCGAGGGCAGCGTCCAAAGGCCTGGAGGCAGCGATGGAGCTCCGACGACTCCGAGGCCTGTCCCCAGCGACAGCACGGCAGTTGTTCTCATCGACGGTGGCCCCAGTAGTTGATTATGCCTCGAATGTCTGGATGCACGCTTTCAAGAGTCAGAACATGGGACCGATCAATCGAGTCCAAAGGGTAGGAGCACAAGCAATGGTGGGGACGTTTCTCACAGTCGCGACCAGCGTTGCGGAAGCAGAAGCTCACATTGCCACCGCACAACACCGATTCTGGAGACGAGCCGTGAAGATGTGGACGGACCTCCACACTCTACGAAAAACCAATCCTCTCCGCAGAAATACAGATCGGATCAGGAAGTTCAGGAGATACCACCGCTCACCACTGTACTAAGTAGCGGACGCGCTGAAAACCATCGACATGGAATCACTGGAAACCATCAACCCGTTTACACTGGCACCATGGGAAGCACGCGTGCAGACTGATGAGCCCATCTCGGAGGGGTCAACTGTACCAGGCGGGTCAATGCAGATCGCATTCAGCAGCTCGGCGCGGAATGAGCTGGTCGGGTTTGGTGTGGCGATCGAGAAACAACCACCACGCTATCGGAAAGTGAGACGGAAGACCTTGTCCGTCACGTTGAGTGCGAGAACAGAGCAAAATCCATTTTCCGCGGAGCTGGCGGCAATAGTGCATACACTGAAGACACTCGTGGGATTGAAAGACTTTAGGATCACACTGATCACGAGAAACAAAGTGGCGACTCTTACGTTGAAGAACCCGCGACAACAGTCGGGTCAGGGATTTGTCTTCCAAACCTACAAGCTGATAAGCAGATTGCAGAGGCATAGAAATCAGATCAGCGTTCGGTGGATCCCCACCAGCGAGGACAACAACCTACTAGGACTGGCGAAAGAACAGGCCAGAGCCGCAACACAAGAAGACACCATCCTTCAAGGACAGGTCCCCAAAATGAAATCGACGACTCTAAAGATTGCGCGTGCCCAAGCAATCCCCAGTAGTAAGCTGCCCGAGAACATAGGGAGACATTCCAGACGAGTGGATACAGCACTTCCAGGGAAACACACGCGACAGCTGTATGAGCGATTATCGTGGAAAGAAGCGAGCGTGCTGGCCCAGCTCCGCACCGGCATGGCAAGGCTCAATGGATATCTCTTTCGAATCAATGCCGCCGAGACAGATCAATGTGCATGTGGACAAGCAAGAGAGACGGTGGACCACTTTCTGTTTCGATGTCGGAAGTGGACCGCGCACCGGACGGAAATGCTGCAATGTACCCACACTCACCGAAGTAATATCTCCTTCTTCTTGGGTGGAAAATCGCCCTCCGATGACCAGAAGTGGACGCCCAATTTGGATGCAGTGCGAGCCTCAATACGGTTTGCCATCGCTACGGGCCGACTTGAGGCCACTTAAGCCGACGAACGGGCAAAATACCCTCCTCTTACTAACCTCAACCCCTTGTGACAGACGGTAGACGCGCTTCAACTGCCGAAGATAGGATGTTGCACACTTGAAGAAGCGCCTTCAAGCCAGTCTACTAACCAATACTAACCCATAGGGACCTGCTATGAGATTGGAAATTGAAATGGCAAATACGGAAGGAAAAACTGTATGGGCTCCAAGGAGACACGGCTTATACCCAAACATGCATGTACTGGTAGATTAGTGATAGTTGCCCTTTCGGCTCAGCCGCCGGGCGTTAATGAATTGTGTGTGTGTGTGTGTGTGTAACGACACTTTATTTAGCAAACTCCATGCTTACGATCTTAAGGGATCCATGTTTTCAAACCTAGTTCGCCTTCTAATTCATTTCATACGTGAGCTGCTTCCTTGTGCAGCCCCTGAAGCGAGTGGAGATATTCTTAACCAACCCACTTCATGGAAAGAAGCTTCAATACATCAATACATTGATTTAGAACCAAATCAAAAATACAAATTCATGCAACCAACATGGCTCGGGAACGAAGAGATGTACGCACTAACTAACAAAGGATCTTTTTCAACTCTAGAGTTGTCGGCTAGTGCACTCGGTAGATCGGACGTTCTCCCACGCTATACGGGCCTTGTCTTCTTGCTTTGACAACTTTTCTACCGAGCTTCGTAGCTCTATGGCAATATGGTGGATAGGCAGAAAGTCATTAGAGGGATATAGTGTTTCGTATTGTTGGAGGCAAAGCAGGTCGTCAGATGCTTGAGCCACGAGGTCTTGTAATTGCTTGAGAAATCCGTAACAGGTACGGTAGTATAAATTCTCGGTCTGCTGCCGGCCGATTTCGCGAACAATGTCGGCAATCTCTTCCATCGTGGTGCCCATATTTACAGGGGTTCATATGCCGGATAATGTGGTAAGAGTCACTTGAAGTGAGGCCTTTCTACGTACTATAGCTACTTTATAAATCTAAACGGGTTAAAGACCAAGCGCTATTGAATAAACGGCCTCCCTTCCTCTCCTGTAGCCTTACCCACCCGTCACATATTGCGTGTCAGCGGAAGAACAACACCAACAGCAACTTTCTGATTCGAGTTTACACACAAACTAGCTGTTAATCAAACCACGGGAATTAATACGCTGATTTGCCTGCCAATAATACAGTCCAAGCGTGGTTTCGCTTGCGAAAGCCAAATCTAACGCTCCACTAGACGTCAACTCATTCGCGCTCCATGGCTCCTCACTTGCGTAACGAGAATGGTCAAGTGTCTTTGACTGACTGGTCATCATTTGTTCATTATCCGTTGCGTGAAGCATTCTACATAACAAAGAGCAATCACAAGATTGCCAGTATTGAAGGCCGGATTACGTTAAAGAGCATAACCACGGCTGCCTCTAAAAACATGGAATTACATAATGCTCCTAACCTGACTATCCTTAATTCCTGCATCCTAGTGTTAAACTCCTTCAAACGGATTGTTCAAGGTTTTCCGTTTCCGTCCAGCCTCTGGATATTGAACAATCAATCACTTTAACCATCGTTTGAAACTCAATCGAATATCTAATAAGTCAACCTTTGGAAAATTGAACTTCAAGCATGACCAGCTCCTTAAATATCTTTCCGCTGAGATGTTGGCCCAGCTCGTTGAAACCGGATTATAGGGATGGTTGTCAAGTGAATTTGTTCTGAACTACATGCTGAATGCTCGTGACGGAAGATCTATACGGTACACCCTTTCCCTCTCTGTTTATTACGCCTTTATTTGGACATTGATCTTGTCTCCATTATGCCTGCTTCCCCCTTCGTTTCGTGCCATCTAGAGGAACATATGGTTATTGTACTCCGCTCTGCTCAGGCATAAATAAAGTAGGTTCCTGTCTAAGCATTACAAGAAAAGGAAGCCACTTTTTATCCCATTAACGATCCACTGCGTTACCACCGGCGGCATGCTTGACACTTTACCTTGCGAAATCATATTGGATGTCGCACAACGGGTGCGTCATTTATGCCTGCTTGTCTTTCATTTCTAACAAATCCTTAGCTGCCCCCTGAGGATCGTCGCTCTTTCAGCCGGGTTTGTTCAAGGGTTAATGCTGTTTTGGTCCCCCTAATATATCGCACCGTCACGTTTCGTGCTGCGAGTGAGTGGGCCCTCAATGTACTTGATATAGATGCATTCTTTTCCAACCAGTCACATTTACAGCCCTTTAGCTACCTCCAGCATACCCGGCACCTGAGCATTCAGGCCCAAATTCATATTGCCCGGTTCAATCGCTGTGCGCACTATAGTATCTTCCGCACATCGGGGCTGACACAAAACCCATCTACCCTGGGCACTTCTGATGAGGCAAAGGCGCATCGGCAGTTTTTAGGTGACATCTCTGACCAAGTGCAAATGGTCTTCGCATGTCTCAAAGAAAATAGCCTCCTTTCGTTCCAGTGAGCCTATCGGTTAGCAACTGCTAGTCCGCTGTTCTACCTAATATTCACTTACTTTCATTAGGTGGGGTCTTGGCACCTGCCTTTCACCAGGTATCCTGGATAAAAACGGATACCTATGCCGGCATCAGAGGAGCCTCAATAGGCTTTCGCTCATCACGGATGGGTCTTGTCCCGAGGCAGGAGGTGCCCTGAATGGTCTTTCCGAGTTTTCGTCTTTGAAAACCATAGAGTGGGAAGGTATTCAGCAACCTGCTGAGATCGATTCTTAGCAACGATGCATCCGCCGGAATTCTTCACATCTGACAACTCTGTCAATTGGGCTTGTCAGCTCTGCTGATGCCCCGAACCTTGTTGAGGATATTTTTGGGCAGCCCTCGGGGGTATTCCACTCAAGCGCTCTCCCTTCACTCTTATCCTTAACTCTGTGTAAAGTTCCCTTTTCACAAACCCTTAAGCTCGGGCCGGTGTGGAGATTTGGATACCTTCGAGCTTTGTCTATGCGTGATTGCCCCAATCAGCTACGGTTCTTGAGTTCCTTGTCACGCTCAAAAGACACGCTACAACTAAAGCTTTTCGAATTCGTCTGTGACAACTTACTAGACGGTTTTGGCCAAGACCTGACTCCAGCATTGACATTTCTGGTCTCATTCAAAGGATTGAGACATTTATATCTGAAACTGTCCAACTTTGAGGAATCCCCTCGTATTGGAGCAGTCATCAAATATCACCAATATACGCTTGAGAGTCTTTCCTACCATGAAAGTCGACTTGTTCCACTTGATGATGAAGGCCTGTTCGAAGAAGAGCGGGATGTGTCACCCCAGTGGCTTGAAGGCCAATTTGATACCTTGAATCTCTCTAGAATGACTGCTCTTGGTATTTGTGCAAGTCCATCTACCGTGGTAAGTCGTGAGGATTGGATGCAAAATTAATTTTTGCTGACCTTGACAGAGACTTTGTCTTGAACCCTTGGCCACGCGTTCCGCTATTGAAATCTTGCATATCCGGTTTACTGGGTCAGAGAGGTTTCATAGGGACATTCCACTCGAAATCACAACGCGGCTGCGGACAAAGCTATCCAGAGATACGTGCCACCACTATAACATTGAAAGTCCTAGGCAAGAACCTTACACCAATAGCTGGAGCGATCTGGCAAGTATAGTCAATGATGACTTGGCCCTCTGGGAAATGAATGAGTCAGGCAGTGTGGAAAAGACCCTTTCAGCATCCTCTGAAGCGGAGGAGTTTGTGGCATTTGCCGAATGGGTGTTCGGTCCGACTGGTCTTCCGAACCTTCACGTTCTGGCCTTCGGTGACTTTTCCCACAACAACCGGTTCCAAAAACAACAATTTCTGACTAGGAGGAGACACCATGAGAACGAGCCACGATACAAAGATCACCAGCATCCTGCTTGTATCCATGAATCTTTGAGTCAATCTTTCTGTGCTGCAAATTCCGCCGATACTTCCCTCTGGGAAAATCTTGGGGTTGATGGAGCTCGGTTCCTTTCTTCTTGTCCAGCCAGTGGATTGATTGAATCTCCTTTTGAATTGTAGACAGCTACTTTCGCCATTGAACGGCTAGTAACTAGATGTTAAATGAAGTTTCATTGGCGTTACCTCCACTTTCTTGCCTTTTGGCCTGAAAATGGAATGGTATCTATTGAAGTCGCTGGTCGTACAGTGATATCTATCGTTGCAGTAGCCTGCATATCTCTTTTCGTTGCGAGGTGTCAGGGTACATGACACACGCACACACACCCTGTACCCTACCCTGACATGTATTCTTGGTAGTAAATTGGTACAGTAGTAATCAAACAGCATCACTGCTGTATGGGCCGTGCATTGATTTATATCCCTTCAGAAAATTGTCCAACCCTGCACAATGCTGGCTGGGCTTCTGATCTAGCCCGGCGTCTTCTTGACCTGGGATGAACGATGCGTTGTAAAGTTGGTCCAGTAGTAATTTGAGGCCGAAGGCGATGACTGCTGACTTGCGAAGGGGTGGGTCGAAATAAGATTCACCCTTTTGTCCATATTCGGTGCAAACGAGCAAAACAGACAGAGCACAGAGTACAAGTAATACCATCGTAATGACTTGCTGGTCAAGACAGTGTGTTGCATGAACTTTTCAGGTTTCAGCTGGCTATATGAATGGCGCCAGCCGTAAGAGAAATACGTTTTGACTGCCGTAAGGTTACAATTGCCACCATCATATTTATTAAATCTATCCGCCCAGTAAGGGTCCCACTACCGCCTCATTATCGTTCTGCGTGGCGCAATTCTCAGAGTCATAATAAGTCCACATTCACCTGGTCATTCTCAAGTAAAAGCTGTACCACCTCCTTATGACGACTTGCCATGGCACAGTATAATGGTGTTCGACCCCCGCAGTCCATTGAGTTCACGTCCACCTTCCCAGTATCAAGCAATAGCCGCACCACAGCCTCATGGCCATTTCGTGCGGCCCAGGATAATGGTCCCCGGCCGTTGCGATCCGTCAATCCAATTTCAGCCCCTGCTTCTATTGACATTCGAGCTGTACGTTCACTCCCTTGTATGGCAGACCATATCAGTGCCCGGCTTGAATTTCGAGAGTTTATGTGATAGAGATATCGAATAAGGAGCATGTAGAGTTGCTTGTTGGTTTGACATAATGAGTAGATGTCTCGTTCTGCCTCCAGGAAGGTACCTATTGTTAGGACTAATTCCGGGGGCAAATGGTGGGGAAACATGGTACGGTGACTATGAGATGAATAAGCCAAGCCGAACGGAAAATAAAATCAAATCGTACAATATTCAATGAAGACGTACTTAGGATGAGTTTGTGGGAGGCGCTTGTACATTCGAGGGAATTGAGATGGTGCCCCAGAATACTGCGCTGAGGGGGTATGAGAGCAGATAAATAAGCGACTAGACTTATATCGTTCGCATGATTTCATGTGATCTTGAGAAAAAGACGATGTTACATCAATCCGCCATGATCATCGAGGCCCCGATATTGATATGCCAGCATGTCGGAATGATGAGGGGTTTCGATGTCGGGTTATACTGATTGGTTGCTCTAACGTGAATCCCGGCCGCCCGAGCGTCCCGGTCGCGCGAGCGCTGCTCCGAGAACTTCAAATTTGGTAATTTTAGAATCTCAAATATCAACACGAAAACTTACATAAATAGCTAAATAAGTTTTGTAGGACATCGAGAATAAGTATGCCCTTTGGTTCCGCAACCAGAACAGGTGACCTGGCGCCGTATAGTAGATACAGGGGGTAATTCAGGCTCTGCTGGTGATTCTGCAGCACCTTCCGTTGCAGATATATATTCCCTTCCACCATCTTTACCCACCACCACATTGGGTCCAATCTCTTCCAACCTTCGCAGACTGCCTTCATGCGATATCTGCTTCTTACTAGTAGCCCTCTTTTTTACCTGCTTCTTATTAGCAGTCTCTAACCTAGCGTAACGATCTTTGATAAAGATGAGCTCATGACTTAGCCGAACGGCCATATCATGCGACCGGTCAATAGCTCGTTTTAGTGGCGAAGTCATGGTCTCTGATGAAGGTTCAAGTCCTTTTTTGATCTGAGAATTCATTTTTTGCAGTTTTGAGAGGCTCCAAAGCGTATCTAGATCACTAGTACTGCTAGAAGATGCTGGTCGTGGTTCAAGTGGCTTAGGTGGTGGAAGCGATTCAAGCTGAATATTAAGCTTATCTAGTACATAATTAGCATCCAAAGGCACTAGACCAGTGCCTTTAAAGCTATTCTGTATAGTTTGCGCTTTGAAAGCAGCTTCTCGGGCAATAGGGTAGAGTTGAATGAAGTCATCTTTGTCGATAGAATTGACACCAAGGCGCATCTCTTCCATAACAAGCGCTCCATATACCCTTTTTAGGACTGAAAAGCACCCAACATCAAGAGGTTGTAATATATGAGATGCATGAGCAGGCATACAAAGAGAAATAACATCATTCTCTTCACAGATTTTGTCGAATTCAGGTGTCAGATGAGATGAGTGTCCATCCAGAATTAGCAACACGTATTTCCCTTTCCGTAGAGGAAGATAGGGTAAAAAGTGCTTTTTGAGCCAGTCATTACCAATCTCATCACTTGTCCATCCATTGGGGCTTTTATTCACGCTCCAAAGTGGTGGTTTCAAGAGCCAACGCTTCAGAAAGACCTTTCCTTTAAAAATGATATATGGCGGAAGCGCAACGCCATTAGCACCAATACACTCAATCACAGTGACCCATTCTCGATTCCCAGGCTGTAATACACCTCTTCTACCATGGTATTCAGCAGAAGTGATGACTTTTTGAGTGGAACTGATTCCCATCGCAAAACCAGACTCATCAAAGTTATAGATATCGTCAGAAGTGATACCATATTTTTGGATGGTATGTTCAACAAGTTTAAACCAAGGTAGAATAACCCTTGGGTCTTCAGAAAGGGCTCTCTCATAATTGTATTTACGAGAGAGACGAGTGGAGAGTGTTTGGTGTCTTTTAACAAATTCTGTCGTCCAATTTTTGCCAACTTTCGGAGGAAGGTCGGAGGGTATCAATTCACGCGATCGGAGCAACAAATTGGCCATATCTCTCAACATGGCATGCGTGAGAGCTGCTCCTCGAGAATCCATAGAAAGCAGCCATTTTTCCATAGATTTTTCTTCCAACATAGTAAATTTATGGCCAGAGGGGCGAGATTCGTCCCAAAATTGTCGCCCCTTGATTCGGTGCTTCAAAGTTGAGACTGGCACATTAAAAGCGCGCGCAGCAGCAGCGGCAGACAGATATTGACCATCTCTTATAGCTTTGATAGCTAATAAGAGAGGCCCCTCTTGCTGTACCAATTTTTGAGACTTTTGAGAGCGAATTGGTGGCATGGTTAATGTTTAAAAACATAGGTTGCTACAGAAATGTTTTTTTTAAAAGTGTCGCTCGGGCGACCGGGACGCTCGGGCGGCCGGGATTCACGTTAGTAAATACGATAAATTAACGTAATTTACCATCGGACGGAACACACCATCCGGCGGAACATCAATCTCATGTCTCCTACTAAGAACTTGTATAACTCCACTAAAACGCCATTAAATTGACCGTTATCTTACATCTATTATACGTATGATCTAGGCTTCGATAGCCGCTACATCGCTTCGGTGCCCTGGTTGGTGCCCGAGCGCCCGTTTTGTCTTGGTCGGGCGCGCTTTGCGACGTCGATACATATACTTCGGTCGGCTCTCCCATCAGCGCTGTAGCCTCTTTAGCATCCAAACTACCTTTGTACGCTGCTTGACGATCGGATAAGCCACGATGCATACGCTGCTTGTGGTTTGCGGCGCGCAATTGTTCGTTCTGGCGTGCTAAAAAGGCCGCGTTGTGCATCGCCATCTCGCACCCTTTGAAAACTAGACTTCCGCAGAACCCAGCTTAACCCGGGCCCAACCCGGGCCCAACCCGGGCTGGGTTGGGTTCTGGGCCGGGTTCTCCAGCCCAGTACTGGGCCCGGGTCAGGATTTCTGGCCCGGTGCTGGGTTCGGGCCCCCAACTTGGGTTATAAACAATGCAAACATGCTAAGACTCGTTGTCGACCAAAGAGGGTCGCAACTTTACTAGTGCGCCCGAGGAATATTCAGCGCCCCCATAAGCCGACTTCAACCATGGTTCGTAAGGCCCTCAACGACCTTACTAAGCCCACATGCCATTTATTCTGTATTTTCTATAGTATCTAAAAATCACACTCTCAAGTACTCAATTGCCAATTGGCTATGCCCGTACTGGTCCGTACTGTAACGACCACGTTCCGACAAATTCAAACAATTGATTATATAAGCAACATGGATTATCTATAAATCCGAAGCCTACCTGCAACATCCGTGCACAGTGGTGGTGTCATGCCAGCCGTGTTAAAAGTAAACAAAGGCCCCCGCAGTTTCGAGAAAGCCATTTGCAACATCTTCTTCAAAATGACAACAGGCATCGACAAGCTACAGCTCCTTCTCACAAAAGACACACGTCACAGTGCGGAGGAGCATTCCGATCGAAGAGTGAAAAGGGAGAGAAGTTCTAAAACCACACTTCCCCGTCTCTGCAACAATCACGATGCGATTTCACCGCGTTATAGTGCTCCTGCGTATATCAAATATGCACAATCTGTTTCAAGCAAAATTTCAGATTCGATCCAGCAGAACCAACATCGTTTCAAGTATGTATTGTGACCCCCATATTTGTCAATAGACCTAGCCACAAGGGAATGACGTTTTGAGTAAACTTGTTCTCAAATGCTCGGACCAGACCTCATGATAGAATGGGTGGTAGGGCCTTATGTTCTAGGTCAGGGAAACCGTTCGAGTTGCCCGATGCCCAAAGCTTTTTTCTGTTTGATCCAAATGGCCCAAAGGAGTCCCTGGCATCTGCCCAGTTGTCTTGGCATGTGCTGAAAACTTTCTAAGCTACGATCATAAAGTGCGTAACAAGCGGACTGAGCCTGCGCACCATACCGATTTTTTTGCCAAACAAAGTCATACGCATAACGACTCAACTGGAATAATGGAAAAATCCTCAAAAACTGGTAGGTGCAGCCGATTATGTAGGAAGACCTAACACTTACAATCTCAATTCAGATTGCCATCTAGATTTAGATCCTGAAACATCGTGGACGGTGCCACTATATGTGCCTACGCCACCGCCCGTCCTTGCAGCGGCTGGCCATGATGACGTTTGTCAAAATCAAGTTTCTCGCTTCCCGTTGTCTACGGAAGAAACAAGCCATCCTTCTCCGAAAATCGAGTGCTGTTTCTCCAGCTATAACAACGAATACTTTCTTGACTGGACAGGTCCGGACCTATTGTCACCATCTTCCTGTACCGACGACGTCTTCCTCTACTTGTCTGCTTTCTACCCCCGGGAGAAATTGGATTGGGCAGACATCCGGCTTTGCGTCTTGATCAATGCGACCGAAGAGGTGGTGGCGATATACCCATTTTCCTTACCCCGAACTGAATCAATACTGGGAAACCTGAGCCAGGTCCGCCAGCTAGTACATGATCGTATTGTGAGCCACGACGTCGAGGATCTTCATTTTCGATTGATTGTTCGGCCAAAGAGCCAAGAAGCTCCAGGGTCTATGGGCACAGAAAAGACATTCAGCTCGTACTTCCGCCCTGTGGTACCTATCTCGCCGCTTGATCCTTATTTCTTCGTGCAGAATATTGCGGGGAATTATTGAAGACAGTATCTCAGCTTAAATATAAAAATAACGCACTTATACGGTCACAATCACAGTTAACCATCTCCCAAAATTCAGGTTCCGCTGGGAGCCTCTTTGGTCGTAAGAGGCGATGAGATGTTAGTCGGGCCCTTTTCTATGGGTTTCTCATTCATTCATTCCTTCCTAGCTAGTCTGATGAGCTACCAAGGACGCAGACACGCAAAAGACAATTGCTTGCAACCGGGCTAGCAAATCCGCCATTAAAGGAGTAGTCCAATACTGTGACCAAACTGTGACCGTGGCGTTGTTGATTGAGCGCAAAGAGACAAATCTCTAAGTCGAAGACGGCATCTGAACGTGACTCGGTTATATCAGGTATGAGAGAACAGGACATCGCTAATGAATCCAGGCGAGATAGAGTGACCGGATCGCACTAATCACAATTCCGTACCGCTCCACCGGGATAACGCGGGCCCTAAGGAAAAGTTCTGTCAGTACCGCTCTGCACGAATTTTCGAACAGTTCGAAAATTCGTGCGGAGCGGTACCTTTGATAATGACATAGCACTGAATACGCTGTTACTGTAGATGAAATCTCTTCTCCCTTCTTACCTAACAGCGATGACAAAGGGACACGAATTAATCTCAATGGAGCCGCGTCACATCAGGCGCGGGCTGGAGAGACGGACAAACCTTTGTGCTTATTAACTTGACTCTAGGAATCAATATGATGACCCTAGGAGCTTTTGATTCCCTATGAGATAAAATTGAGCTCCCGGGGCGATGCTTAGTTCTAGGAAAATGAGATCTACCCCTGGGACCTTTACCTTACGCTCCTGAATAAATACAAAATTGGCCCTGGAAATGCATTGGCTTGATCCGGGAGCTGTGGAGCTCCTGGGAGTTTAAATTAGGGCCCTAGAGTCACTATACTGCCTTCCGGGGTCACCGAAGTCTTCACACAACACCTTCACCAGGTTTGCGCACAAATTGCGGCATTGTATCACTCCTAGAATGCCAAATAATCGCCCAGGAACTACAAGTCATCAACAGGAACGCGGCTTTGATTCCCCGAGCTGGGAACTCCAGACCCCAGAAGCTACATCGGGCTTCCTGGGGGCTACGTGGCTCCTAGAGGCTGTTTCTTTGCTCCCAGAAACATTTCAGGGGTCCCTGGGAGTAAGGAAATCCCCAGGGCCAAGGAATGCGTCCCTAGCACCGATGGAGACGTCAACAGGAGCGTGACTGATCCTTGATAGTGATGATAAAGATGTTTATGTTCGTTTCTGGATACCGCTATGGATATCTATTTGCTGTTTATACGAGAGACGGAAAACGCGCATGAACAAGGAAAAGCTCACTTTTCCCAGACTTCAGCCGTAGACATCAAGCCCAAGTGAAACAATATCAGAACAAATCGGGCCTAGTAAGTATAGATTTCCTCTCATTACTGAAGGCAGTAACGAGACCCCATCTGAAATAAAGCCCTGCTATTACTACTGAGCACGGCGTAGCAGAAATTCTTGCTCTAGTCACGTTTAAGCTAAAAGGGAATCTTGCTACTACTGGTTCATAATAATACAATAGCGAATTACCACAGCATCTGCAAACTTGGGAGATTTAGAGCCCCCGAGGACCGCAAAGGAGACCATGTAGGAGCTTGCAGGTGCCACTGGGCTATACGCTATCACGCCGTCCCTAACCTCCTGCTTATGTACTATAGCGTAGACTGGTTGCTTCCACATCACTTTTCACTCTTAATTATGAGATGGATTATGTACATGGCTTGGTCGAGCGGTAAATTCAGGAATTGATAATTTATCCAGCAAGAAATGCGGCCTTGACTCTTAAGCGCACCTAATTGGAATTGCGAGGTTTTCTTTGATCTGCTAACTAGCTTTTAGAACCTCATAGTTTCGAGATGCTATATGAAGGACCAACAACGGTGACTAAACGAATGCATGGTCTCAACAGGCCTCAATTAGGTCAGGTACCCGCAATTTCTTATTCGAAGCTCCCCATTTTCTGCTATAGAGGCCTGGGATCGAGTACGGTTTCTCACTCAGGTGGTCAGTAGATTGAGCAACGGATGCAAATTGATGGGCAAGTAGGGTAGGCGTAAAGCGTCGAGTCCGGTCATACGTCATCCAGCGAGAAAGCTAAATATCAAGGTATGGTCAGCAAACAATGTACTATACAAACCTCTAGGTACGACAAACTGTCGCATTGACAGATACTGGTATGTGCTAGTATTGAGGTGTCCCATTGAGATTCATTGATGTTGTTCCATCTGGATCTTTTCTGTTGAAGCATTATCAGATCTCAGGGGTCGTTCCTAACGTGTTACGACGCTGGTATACCGAACGTACCCCGTTTACCATACAGAGACAAAGAGAGAATGGGTGCTTGATGAATAACCCTGTCCTTAGTGGTAAAATACCACCCCTCAGTTCGACACAAACACTTGCAATCCGCACTCCAAGCCACAGCCACCTATGCTTTCTCAGAAGCATTGTCCGTGGCTCCCGAATCAATGGCCTGTCATTCTCTACAGCCATCTGATCAAAGAATTTTGCAGGGTAATACAGCTGGCTCCAAATGTATCCTCGAATCAAAAAGTCTTCGGGCAGTTGCTGGGTGGGTGTGCCATCGATGCGGGGAGATGACTCGGCTTCAATGCAATATTCATGTTCGGCTGAAACAAAATATTTAGATAATGTGCGAGTATCAGCCGTAGAACTAGCGGCTCGAGTCGCTGCATGGCTGCTGGATGGAGCGGGAGGCACCACAGGAATGCCAAAGAGGCATGCACAGCTGGGTGCATAGTTGGCTCGCTGGCTTGGCCAAGGATGACGATCAGGGTGCCGAAAGCGAGAGAGCTGGCACAGAATAGCTGGCACAGAATTCAATTTGAGACGAGATGTCGGTGTAGTAATGTCTGCTCAAGTTGATAGGTGCTGTTGTGGATGCCCACTGCTTGACATGGACATAGGCATCCGTAGTGGCAGTACTTGGATCATGAGCGAAGTCCGGAGCAATCTCTCCACTCTCTTCCCCATACTGCAATATTGCTGCGATGTTGCAGCACGTTATAAAGATGCCTTGTTGTGGCTCTCGACCTAACCGGCTAACCTCCCGGCGAAGATCCGAAAGGAAGAACCTAGACCAAGCAAAAAATTGCTCACGTGGCATGCGCATGAAAAGAGAACCATGGGCAGCCACAAACAAAGTGATCAGTGTGTGTCTGTCAGCGGGTAAACTTAGGATAGGGTTGAATAGCTGAATCATACTCTTTCGCGCATTTGCAAACGGGTTCACGCTGAGCGATGCTTTCGAGTAGTAGAAGAACCGCTGCAAAGTACCTGAGCGAGAGAGGACGTCAAGGTGGTGCTGATTTCGGCCGGGTTCAGGATGTTGATCGAGATACTGATTGTACCAATATCCAGAAACCTGTGTCCTTAAAAGTAACGCGACCCGAAATTTGGCCGTTGCTGTCACAGCGGAGGGTGCGTTGTCACCCAGCCATGGGTCGTGTCGTTGGCAACACCGCAGAATCAAGAAGCTGCTGATCGGCGTAGCCAGGACATTCAGCGGCTATTTTATTGCCTTCGGAGCCCCTTCGCACATTCTAACCCCCCCACACACTTTTGTAAGGACGAAGCCCAGTATCTAGAGAGAGATTTCGGTCGGGAGATTCCATTTACTTCGGGACAACTCACGTCTCAACAAATGGCGCTTTAGGTGCTTCGAGTGGGTGTAGGTCTTATCACAGTGCGGACAAGGAAGTTTGCCATCCGCATTCTTGGCTGTATTGGTTTTTTGCAATGCTGTTGACAAATCGAGGATCCACAAGCTGTGACCTCCACGGTTCGGCCGCGGTTCGGGCCTTCACATCTTTCACCCCAGGTGCTACGAACACTCGAAGTTTCTATTGGAAGACGTATGGAAGATGAAATATGTGTGACCATGTCATGTTGGGTTTTTCTGCGCGTACAGGAAGACTACGGCCTTCACATCTGCTCCATCGTCCTATGCGATGTGTCCAAGTCAGTGAAAGGTGTGAGATGTCCACTGGGCAGACTAGCGTGCAACAACATCCCATAGACTGCCATACTAGCCAGCTAATGATACGGTGATCGAAAATTCCTTGGTATTTCGTCGCTTCCGCAGTATGGTTTGGCGAAAGGAGCATAATCATGTTAACACGCGATATTGTAATTTTATCCAAACGGGAAAATCCTGTTCACTTTGGCTATTGAATGATGGGCTGCGTTGATGATGTTGTCCACTAATAAATGGGGCGTGTAACCAGACTTGAGCTTTGAACAATCACTGTTGCTTGGCCAAATCTCAAAACGGAGGCACATTTAGTTCCGAATGTGTTTCATGGAACAGTTGGCGAGTTGATGGAAGTACTTGGCGATTTGATCCAGGATTTCCCGCATGCAGGGCTTTATGGATGCGTGGAGGTTGCCAATGATCTGGATCCGCCATGTATTCAAGGAAAAACGCGGTATCACTAGGCCGATCCTGGGTTGACCTGGATCCAATGCCGAGGCCTGTGCTAATAGTACTGGTGCCGTATTGCTGGGCTGACCGCTCACTGCCTTCAACTACATCCGGTCCCATGTTGCCCGATTTGACGACCATAGCCAAGCCGGACTGTCGGTCACAGCGCTGGAGGGTTTCTGATAAAAGCTGGTCATTCCTGTCTGGTCTGACCGCAGGCGACTGCAAATTTCCCGGTGCTGTTGGGTCGGAAGGTCTCTGGCATATACTTTGTGACATGTAACCCTCGCAAGAGAGGCACCCACGGATACAATTCTTGCCTAGCGCACGCATTAGCACCTGCCTTTCCGGAAACGTCCCCTCAGTTGGTGACCGGGAAACGCCGTCAACACCAAGACATATAGCTAAACTTACATACAGGATGCTGTTCATCGCATTTTATTTTCCTGCGGCGACAAGTCATGCAGCCAGTCTTCGATCTGCGGCTAAATACACGTCTTCTCTTCTGCATTACCTGGACCGCAATTTCGGTGGGGGCGGGGGATAAAGATGCAGATACGACACCAGGAGGTTCGGTATGCGAGGTCTGCGGCTCTTGGCTTTGTGCCTCTCGTTCCGGCGCATTCGTCAATTGTGGGTCAGAACCATCGATCTGCTGGACCTGTTGTGTCTGGCTCATCAGCTGCGTATCGTGGTCAGACGTGACAGCGGAAATTTTTATATCAGTCTCCGGCACTGATATTGATGCAGCACAGATCAAAATTGGTGAACCGACGACCGGATGAGTCACAGTGCCTCTGGCTCTGGCAGAACTGGATCTCTGGTCTGGGTTGTGGTCAGACTCGTCCCGTTTCCATCCGTGGTTATCGCAAACAGACAACGCAGACCTCCGCGATTTGTCCTGGTCCTTTTCATCCAAATCCTCGAAATTTTGTGAAGTATTATGTTCCTCGCTCCCCTCAGATTGAGTCGTTCGCTCTGCACCTTCCATTTGAGTTCTCGATATTTCTTTGTCCAAGTTTGCTGCAACGGACGCAGATGTTTTGTGAAAAGGGTTGTCTTTTGTCCTAGTATCGGTTGTCCGGTCGTGATTGCTAATTATGGGAGTGGCTGTGACTGCCGTTATGTTCCGTGATTTCACGGCTTCATCTCCAGAGTGATTCTGTCGGAGGGTCATGGAAAAAGGCCCAAATTTTGACTTGAAGGTGACTTACCCACCTGAATTCGTAAACGTCAGGGACGCTAGCGAGCAAGACCAGCAATTTTCTCCGACAGCTTTGTATGAACAAAAAGGATGAATATTGGAGTTGTCTTCTCAAAGGGCAACCTGCCTCAGAGGACCAGTCAGGCCCTAACACGTGCGGGGTCAGTGCCAGAAGCTCAACCCATCACCTATTCCGCCGCTACGAATTCGGGGCCAAGTGGGTTCATCACAAGTTACTAACCTAATCAGGAAATATGCTGCCCTTTACTTCGATAAGGCCACTTTGGATAGCCATCTCTCGACACTGTTTGTGAGCACTAAATTCGGGATTTTACTCAGTCAGTCAGCCCCCTTTCATCCAGGCAGTCAAGCTGTTGATTAATCTCGATTCTGTTATTGAAGCGGTGCCCAATAGTTGAACCAGGAGGTGGCTGGTGGTCGAAGTGGTCGGCCGTCGGGTTGCGCCAAAGAGAGGTCTGGCGGATTGGGATCCTGCCCACCTCTATAACAAGGCGTAGTAGGTTCGAATCCTATAGCCACCGAGTTCTTATCCCTTCGGGGGTAGGGATGACCACATCGGAGGAGGGGAGGCTTGGATATCGCCCAGTGTATGGGAGAGTTTAGGGGGGTAATGGAGCATAGTTCTCATTCATGCCTCTCCCTTCGCATACTCTATGCTAAGTGTGGCACTGAATTTCCTAAGGTTTTTGAGACTTTTCCTTAGGGCCCACGTTACCCCGGTGGAGTGGTACGGAATTGTGATTAGTGCGATCCCACGCATAAGGAGAGCACCGCCTGTATCTAAGCCGGAGAAAGTCTGCATAGCGCCTAACAAGACAAGAGGGAAGCTTCATCAGACTATAATAGATCACATCATCATCATCATAGTTGAACCAGGATGAGTATCAAAACAACCAAGATGTAGAAAGGAGATAATTTAGTGTTGACCGGAGAACTTGATCCATTCCTGACCAAATGACATCACTGCGTGCTTTTGGCTTTTTCCCTTCGTAGATCGACTGATGATTCGCAGAGACTTGGACCGACCCACAATGTCCACTCTCGGCGACCGGCGTCATGGGACCTGGCTTGATTTGTTCCCCTTTCCCCTGTCTCTTTCAAAACACACCCACCTCATCCCCAGACCGGGGAATCCACATGTTAACAGCACTTTATCTCGCACCTTGTAAGCTCATATACAACGGACTTCATCTCTGTCATTAGTTCCAATAGCCTTCTCTGCCTACGCCGTTGCTCGATTTTCCCTATCTCCAATCCTACGCCGAAAGCAAGCCCACCATACGTCTACCACTCACTGGCCGATGCCATTTTTAACCTGAGCTCAACCTAGTCTCTGTCTTTGACCACAGAATCTAGCGAACACAGAATCCCTGCGCGAAAGGTGAGAACATGGAATCCTATCATGCATTTATGTAGGGGAAGTGTTTGCTTCTTGCCCTTATGCACAAAATCACGTTCTTTACAAAAGACTACATTCATTCTTCTGCATATGAGAGGACGATGGTAGCGCTGGTCGTGTACCAAGTCTGGCATAGTCTTTATGGTGCTGAATTTGCTTGAGGTTGGAGAGCCAGGCTAACGGAAATTTTACGACAATATAGAATTCTTCAAGATGACCGAAAGTAGCACAGCGCAACGATCGTCAGAGTATATACTACCCACTCTCCCTCACGATCATAATGGAAGTCATTCTTTAACCCTGCCCCACATGGCGACACCCTGTTCGACAAATTCCCGGATTCCGCTCAATGATTATGCTCGCTCTATGCTAGCATATACCCAATCTCAGATATCCTCGTGTGTTGGTCTGAACAAGAAATATGAAACGAAGCCGCAGCTGCAACGCAGAAGGATAACTAGTGACAGCAGCGAGGGAAGCGATCTTTCTGTTAATAGCGTGTTACACCAGCAAGACTCTAGTCTTCCCAGCCCAGCGGAGGCCGAAGAAGACGGATGGCAAAGCACCAGCAACGTGGATTGCATTCAAGCTTAGCTATGTGGTTGTGCGAAGTCAGCGTCGTGACGATGACGATTATTTTGCTACATGTGGATCTTACTGACGGAACACGGGAATTGATATCTTGGGTTCCTCACTGCAACAAGACTACATGGAGCCATAGCTCGGGCAACGGTCCCGACAGTACTTACTCACTGCTCGGGATCAAAGTGGCGTGTAAAATTCGTACGCAAGAATCTATACCTCAAGTCATGTAATGACATGAAATGCTATACGCTCTAGATTGTCTAAATTTTCAAAGCTCAACGGAATGCACTCCTGTGTTCAGAATACCTGCCAGCGCAGCTGAGACTAAATGCTAAATCCCAGGTCTCTTTGCGTAAGATTCATCTTGAGCATCTGAACCTGCTCATCGTGGCGAGTCTGAAGACCGTTTCTCTCCTTTGTCAGGTGTATACCGGCGTCCTTCGAAACATGTGTTCTGCTCTAGCTTCTCGCCATCGATGTGCCTGAACACGCACGACTACCATAGGCGTAGACAAGTGCCCAACAAGTCGAGTGCTGGAAGGGCAAATTTGTATCGTCGCGTTTGAGCACCTTCAATAGAGGTCAAAGGGGTTCGCCTGTCAAAGCACGTCTCGATTTTGCATGCTGTTGTGAAGGGAGAGCTGTGGTGGTTAGCAAAAGTATCTTGGGCTTAATCGTTTTCACTTAGATACCAAGGGAGGCGCATGGTCGGAAGTTCCATGTAGGATAACTTTACCACCAAGGATTGGCAATTCACTTGGCCACTACAACGCCACAGTAATTAACGAAAGGGATTTTCGCCCCTGCACGCTGGCAGAACGTTGAGAAATGCTGTTAGTATAGGCAAATTTGCAAACTCATTTGACATAACCAACCATAGTAACTATGGCGGATTCCCAGGGAGTACCATGAGCAGATCCCAATCCCGAACATGACCGTGACGTGACCAAGATCGTTCTGAAATTTCTTGACCCTGTTTGCATTATTTCGAAGACGAAAGGCCAGGCAATGGAGTTCTTTGTGGGAGCAATCAGTTTGGACAAGTCCCCGCGATGGCGGTATCTTACATATTTTCCTTATGTTGAGATATTGGCCTTGTCAGTGCCGCGGTCATGAATACGGATTGAGAACCGGAATTATAACTAATTATTGCCATTGTTATTAGCCATGATGCCCTATAAGTTGTTTGTACGAAGGGGTAGCAAACAATGCAGATTTTTTGCCATTTTCTATTGGATGACCTGTTATTACGGAAACCACTGATTTTGACAAAATCACATGGTCTGCATATTTCATGTGGTTTTGGTTTCTCATGAATGATGCACGGGTAGAGCATCATAAGCCTTCTGCGTTGAATGGCGGCAACTTCTACTTTGCCTTCCACAACCCCCAGGCCACAACAACCACGACTTTAATCCCTGCTGACAGCCATAGAGTGGGGGCAATTGCCTGTGTGGCTTTCGTCACCCATCCACCAATGATCGCCCCAAGCAGCGTCAGCACAAACGCGATGACCCGACGGTCACGCTTTTGGTTTCGGATTAGGAACAGCTTAGGATCAGACACAAGATCACAAAGAAGACTTGTAATCACCACGGTCGGAACCTCATTGAAACCTAGCGCGCGACTCGTCACAATCTGACCGGCGGACTGAATGCTGAGAAGAACAATCGGAACCTCTTGGTCCCACGGGGGCGTGGTCTGCGACAACCGATCACCAAGCGCACTCGAGATGGCACCGCCTTCGATAAGTCCAGCGGTTATAATGATTATACTGGCTTGTAACGCGAAGGACATCATTAATGAACCGCGTTTTCGAGCACCCACAATACTGTGTAAGCGCGCGAAGAAGAAGCATCCTAAGATGAAGCATCCGATCGAAGTGAGCGAGCGCGCCCATCCATATGGACGAGCATTCTGGCTTGAAGCTCCTAGTCCCACGAAGATTGTGTTTCCTGTGGTCTGTCAGATTGCGATGGAGTTCCTTCCGTGCTTGAGGTCATACCGGTCTGCATGGACACAAAGGTGTTGTAAGCTGGGAATGTTAGTCTCACCTAGATCACATAAACAAGGATCAATTTCGCTCTCACCATTGTAGATTGTACTGTCAACAAGTCCTGATGTCAAACAGCACGCAAAGAGAAGAAGATCGGCATGCTGAGGCTCGATTTCAGCCTTGAAGGACGCCGCAAATCCTGCAAATGCACCTTTTTCAGTGTCCATAGTGGAATCTGAATGCATTGGAGGGACAAAAAGCCCCCCAAAAACTTGCAGAGACCTTGGAGAGACACCAAAAGACAAATTTTCTAAATTGCAGTCAAAGTCAACAGGGGATGCTTCAGGAACCATTTCTAGCTCCACCAAAGCTTTTCCTCTCTCTCCCCCCAGTCCTATTGATCGCATCACTTTCCTCAGGCCGGCCAAATGCACGCCAAGACCGAGCCAAGCACATCCTGAAATTCCGCGGACTCCGGGGTATATTAGCAATCTGCAGTTTTCGATGCAAGATAACGGGATTGACACCACACGTAGCGAATCGTGCCTCTTTTCGCTCCTCTGCGGCCTGTGAGCTGGCCGAGCCGTAGTCGCTACGAGACTTTTTCGACGATTTTAGTCTCCGATACGTGCCTACAGCGCCAAGGATTACTCTCGGAGGAATCGTTTTTGGCGCCGAGCAGCTTGGTGCCGACTTTCTTGTGAACTTCACCCCGGGACATTGGTGTCACTTGCGGACTTTTGCTGAGGGTTGTTCACAGGTTCTAATGGCCAAGAGGTCTCGCCGCCCAAATACAAGCTTTGGCTGTAGATTGAAAATTGTCCCAATGTAAACGATGATACGCTGTCCACATATTTGCTGACGGCATTCAACTGTTGGTCTCTCTCCCGAAAGATAGGATGAGGAGCTTGGCAAACTAGGGTACTTGTGCAACAATGCCTTTGGCCAAGAGTCTTCTTCTGCTCAAAATATTGCCACAAACATGCAGATCCCCACTTATGCAGGAGCGACAAAGAGGTCAGGCGTCTGCAGCATGCAGTCATTATGCCAAGGCAGCCTAGATTGATTACCCTCCATGCTCAATGCAGCAGTCGTGATGGAGAATCTTCATCGGGGTGGCCGCCACCGACCACCTTTGAGGCATCTAGACCAATAAACTACGCCGGTGCATTATTTTAACCCTGGTCTATGCAGATGTTGACCACCATTTGGACGCTATTTACACCACTAATTGACGGGGAGGTTCTCAACGATTGCTCGAGTGGTTAGCGCTCGGTATATCACGCAATGAGTATCTTTTCTAGTCTAACTACGCGGGGCTGGGGCCATTTGGCTTCTGAGGCATCGCCAGTACGACGTGAAGACAGGGTACTTTAGGGCCATGATAAGATCTTGGCAATTTGGGGAATGTTGCATCCCCGAGATCCCAAGCGCACTTGGTTTGGTGGAAGCGTATCCTCTCTCACACCAGACAGACGCTTTTGGTCCTGATTCACTCACTCGAGATGAGCCGTATCACTCCGAAGCCATTTAGCCAAAACTTATAAAAAGGCGAATCTACCCCGAATATTGGGAGGTATTACAAGAATAAAAAATATTAGACAACAAAGCCAACCCATCAATCGGATCGCCCAAGATGACTATCACAATCACCGTTGAAAAGGATGGGTACTATGAGGTAAATGGCACACGTCAGGAGCCGAGTGTGTCTCTTTATGTTATTCCTGCGGCTTCCAAGCTTCGTCGGATGCTCAAGGATACGAAAGACCTCCTTGTGTGCCCTGGTGTATATGATGGTCTCTCGGCTCGTACTGCCATGGAGGTCGGATTCAAAGGACTCTATATGGTATGAAAATTGATACAAGAACACAGATGCACAGATACTAAAAATATCACCAGACTGGTGCTGGAACCACTGCCTCGCGTCTGGGAATGGCGGATCTGGGGTTAGCTCAGCTCCACGACATGAAAACCAATGCTGAAATGATTGCCAACCTAGACCCATTCGGGCCTCCATTGATTGCAGACATGGATACTGGATATGGCGGTAGGTTTTACCTACGGCCAAAAAACGTACATTACCACAGATGCTGACTACTTAATAGGCCCGTTGATGGTGTCAAAGTCTGTTCAACAATACATCCAAGCAGGGGTCGCTGGCTTCCACATTGAGGACCAGATCTCAAACAAGCGATGTGGCCACCTTGCAGGCAAAAAGGTTGTTGGCTTAGACGAGTACCTGATGCGGATTCGCGCTGCCAAGCTGACCAAGGATCGTCTGCACTCGGACATTGTTTTGATTGCACGGACGGACGCACTTCAGCAACATGGGTACGAGGAATGTATCCGTCGACTGAGAGCTGCCAGAGACATTGGAGCGGATGTTGGCCTACTGGAAGGCTTTACTTCTAAAGAGCAGGCTCGACAGGCAGTCCAGGACCTCGCTCCTTGGCCTCTTCTCCTGAACATGGTAGAGAATGGATCAACCCCCCTCATCACTACAAAGGAAGCAGAGGATATGGGATTCAGAATCATGATCTTCTCATTCGCGACAATTACCCCTGCTTATTTGGGTATTAAGGCGACCTTAGAGCGTCTGAAGACTGAGGGAGTGGTTGGTGTCCCCGATGGAATGGGTCCGAGGAAGCTTTTCGAAGTCTGTGGATTGATGGACTCTATGAAGATAGATACAGAATCTGGGAACGATGGCTTCTCTGAGGGTGTTTGATGGGGCTCTTGTAACTAATTCATTTTGAATTTAAAATTGCCATTTTCTTTCTCGGTTGGATTTGTCTAATTTTATTTTAGTTTCTGTTTAAATTTCATTTATCTCTTTGATCTTTCTCTCAACGACAGAAAGGTCCTCTATGAATGAGAAGTTTTCTCCTGAACTATACTCTCAATGATAGCTCCCATGTTGATCACTAGATTTATGTTTGATATGTCAGGTATCCAGTGATGACGCGGCACGAATTTCAGGGGTGAGGTTATATATACAGGAAGAACTCCAAGTTATTTTCCAATCAACTTAATGTTTGTATAGACACATCGGGAATCAATTCCGATGGAACGGCTTTGTCTTTGATCTGCACCAGCCTCATATCACATCATTTTCCCTCGAGATCACTTCGCTCGCAAGGCGATACTGAAATCACGATGAGCAGTCAGGCCTTAATAAAATAATTCAAAGCATCACGGAGAAACTAAAGTGGAAGAGCGCCCGGGCTATTGCCTCCGAATATCTGAGGCTCCGATTCCCAAGAGACTACAGAAATTGACAAAGGCCTGGTGAGTCTGCTAGAGGCATGTTTTTTCACGGTGGAAACATGTTGCAGATTGATCTCTCCTGCATTGAGTATAGCTCGCTGATAATGAAATCTCACATCAAAGTGTTTAGTCCGATTATGGAGCTCAGCCGAAAGGACCAGTGCGGCGGTCGCTCAGCTCGGGTGATTCTCACCCTTTTCACCACCGTTCGCGGGACGATAAAGCGGCTCTCATCCTAAACTCAACGCGGCTGCACATAGTGGTTGAATGACTTTCCTCGTGAATCCCCCTACTCACCAAGAGCCAGAAGTGGAAAAAATTAGTATGATCACGTGTTTAGGTTGCTTAACTTCATCGCGACCACGAGTTTGGCTTCTACAATACAATTTGTGGAGCTGCTTTGATCCTTAGCATCGACCCATGAATCATGGGCCATGATGGGTAACTAATTTAACAAGTGGGGTTCTTGGCTACATTCACTGCGTGTTCATCTTAATTTGATCAGCGTGCCAATGTTGGCCGCACTCGAAGTAGTATTCTCATCTTCACGAGCATCCTCAGAGTGGCTCGGCGTATGATAAAAGTGTGTTTATGCTCGTAATTGATTAGTATACTGATAACAATGAACCGCTTGAGACCATCACGGTCATCTCTTCGGTCCCTATTCCCACCCCTAAGAACAAAAGTACGATAAAATCGAGTTGTCAGGTCAGTCAGCCTTGAACCAGCCATGCAGTTTACATCGCTTAGCTAGACTAGGATTGGCTCGTTTAACCTTCCAAAATGGGTTCATCATCCCACTACCCTCGTTTTATTGCATCCCTGCATTGCTACAGCACTAGGAATCTATAACCTGCTCGATGTCTTGTATCTATCTAAGATTTTATGAGGCAAGTGTTTCTGCATTGTGACCGTTTTCTTGGATTTACGGGACTTGTTAATCGACGACCCCGACACTAAAGCTGAGGAGGGAAAGAGGTATTCTCGCTCGAAGCAATTAGATTGCTTTTACTGCGGAAATAAAAAGAGTACAAGGTAGTCAGATTGATGAAAATCCTTGTCGAAAGGGGATGACTGATTTTATTGGTCATGAGCCTCTTCCGTGATAAGAAACCTGGTCGGATGCCCGCTGATCTGCGGCCAAGCTGTATACCCACCTGGATGAATTATTCAGGCTGTACAAACAATAAAGATAGCTGCACGCAATACCATGCCACTCAAACCCTAGTGTACAACCTTAAAAATAGTATGAACGGCTTTCATGTTTTTTTGGGTGCTGACTGCGCATAGGCCAACGCGACGGGTTAGGCAGTGACACATTAGACGAAAATTCGCGGTCATTTGAAAATGGACTCGGATTCCCTAAAACATGTCTGTGTTTGATAGAAGATCTCATCATAAGAATAGCCGTTTGCCTCTCCTACGATGCTTCAATAAAAACCACATCCATAACTCCGGTGAGGGGCATTGTACTTGCCTTGAGTATTTAGAATATCTAGATTCAAATTTCGGTACTGAAGAGTTTGAGGCGTTTTCTGATGACTTTCCACGCGAATGAGGGACTGACATGTGAATGGCATGGACAGGGGCTCGCTCTTGACTCACCAATCTGCGTAGTATCACTGATCCATGGCTCCAAAGTGGGGGCTGGGGGCCAAATGTGTGGGGGCCAAATTAAGAGAGGCTAAGTCGTTCCAATCTAGGCAAAAGGCGCTAAGCCAACGAAACTCTGGCCCCAAGATGAGACAGGATTCAATCCAATCACTGGTGTATTTAAAAACGCCCCAGGGCTTTCGGTCTTGACAGGGTATTTGGTTTGTTCTAGCGTGCTATTGGGGAACGGTCTCAAACGTAAGCGCTCCAAAACTAGCATATTAGCCCCCTCAGCTAATGCATCTATCAAAAGTTGGCCATGCTACATAACTAAACTAGGGTTGTAAAATCAGCCTTGAAAAAGCTGCACAGGCCGAGCTAGGGCCGGCTTGTTCTACAGACCAACAAGGACTTGGCTCACATCATATAGCTAACGGAGCTTTGATTCAGTTTGACGTCAAATAGTTTCAATTCAATCCAGATGCTGATCAAAAAAAGTATAAAATGCCGCAAGTGTCGTTACCATCCGTGCAGAATATTATATGTCAACATCATCAAGCATCATTCCTCTATCATCTCTTGCAACCAACTACTTTATACCTTTTGTCACTATGATCACGTCTGTGGTTCCTGCGCTGCCGGTGGTTTCATTTCTTACAACCACTATGGCAGAAGCATACTCTGCTATCGGGAGTATTGTAGACACCGTCGTCGGCCTTGGCCCTCAAGGTTCGACATGGTCAGAAGTTTTTTGTGAATAGTCTTCTTCGCCAATTATTGGCAGTACACTGGACTGTTGTTCTCCTTCATTTTTCTGGTCTGGCGTGCTTTTCGTGGCATCCATTGTGGTCGTAGGGAAAAGTCGACTGTCTAGGCCATGGCACATGGCATGTCCATAAATTTCTGGAGGATTTAATCGACTAGCAGACATAAGTGGTTAGGTACTGAGTCTCATTTTCACCATGAAAGTCAATCAGCGTAGTCAGCTTTTCAATCTCAGCACTCTCTTAGCAGTCCATTTAATGTGTTGAGATATTGGCTCAGTGAGCTTGAGGCCTCAACATCTCTTAATTAATACGCAGCGACCATATAGGGCTTATTGGATGTTTTGTATCATGAAAATCTTGCAGTTCTGTTCATTTATGTTGGTCCTGCACCTCATACCGCTGTTCTATTTGACTGTGTCTATGGCACGGGACGCCCTCCTTTTTGTTCAACAATTTGCTTTGTAATATTCCGCCAAATCTGAAATAACCTTTGCCTGCTCATTCATACGAATAAGATCAGGACGGAGCCTATTTATCCCGGCCTTCATTAATGCCCAGGTATTTTTAATTGGGTTTAGGTCAGTTGGGTGTGGAAGAATGACGATGCGAGCCAGTCACATACCTCTCACAGGAATCCGTACGATAACCCATCACTGGGAGGCAAGGGCGCATTCTTCACTAATTAAGAAACAACTCGGCTAATAAACAGAGACGACTCAATTGACTGAAACTAGTACAAGTACCGTGGGTATCCAACGCCACACATCCTTGATATTCTTTACAGATGATTATAAATTCATACAGTACTCTCGAGGTACATGTGTTAAATCAACATCTCGTATATGCATTCTACCAGCCCAGAGCGGAGAAGGTTTGATGTTTCGTTGAGAAGTCGTGGAGATGGTGATAAATTAAAGCCCAAAATTGGGCTATCATCGGATTGTTGTTGCGTGTGGTAAGTATCTTCTACCCTTTAGTTTATTGCAAGAATCTGGCAGGGAGCAACACGGTTCGGATTCTTCAAGATTATTTTTGGTTCATTTCCATCAACCTCTTTTCTTCAAGCCTTGACTAATGCGCCATCTCTGGTAGAACATTGCCGAAGGCGGAAGGATCGATGCCGTGTTGACGAACATGATGAGCGCGGACGCTGTGAAAATTGTCTTCGGTTAGATAAATCGTGTAACTTCTCTCGCAATCCTCGTGGGTTCAAGGAAACTACACAAAGGATACGACCAACTATGATTGATGGAATGTCCTTGCAGAGTCATGTCCCCAATCCAATGTTCGTGCCCGACAGCCAACATCTGAAAGCTGCATATCTGGAAGAAATGGGTAAGTTGACTGATAAACTATATCCAAGCATCGGTCCCCCATAAGTACTAGTCGGAATGAAACTCACTATTTCAAAGACAGGACTAATTCGTTTAATGGTCCATCTGCTAGATTTCCCTCGAAGCTGACGGTACAGGGAACACCAACTACGTCATCACGAGTGATTCAAACACCTTCCGGGTGTTTGCTTGAATCATCAAGCTCGCTAAAAAGCCCTGCGCAAGGTCAAGAGCGTATCCAAATGGCTGATCTGGAACGTTTTGCCTCCGATGGAAACCTCACTTCTCACTTCCTAGAGCCACAAGAACCTCTGGATCCGACGCAATATGCAATTTGTGACTGCACGAAATGTTTTACGTCCTGCAGCCTGAGGCCTGGGCCCATGACATCCATTGAACCCTTCCAAACCCCCTCCCTGGACATTGCAAAGTTGAGCAGGTCGGTCTTTTCAGAAACGCCAGGGCCAGCGACATGCAGTGAAGGGTCTCTAGACTGCTCGTACTCATTTTTGTAATCTATTTGGTGGAATATACTTAGTTGAGGTTCGTCGCACATCCAGGCTAGACGCCTGACAGACCAGGCATGAATTTAGTGATCAGCATTTGACCTACCAAGTAGAGTATAGATCAGGAGAAGAGTTCTCATTTGTATAGGGTCTTTCACTCAAAAGGAAAAAGATCAGACTTAAAACAATCTCGTTGGCCTTGATATTGATGCTTCCCAATTCAGTAGACGTCCAGTTTTAACAAACTCGTTTGCACGATGTAGCTCGCTCTATATATATGCTGCTATGCGGAAGAGCTGTCAGGCCTACCGACTGCTGGAAAGGGTGGTCGCCAGCCCACTGGGCGACCGTTGAAAACTCGCCTTGCGTATTTCTGATCAATCGCCCTTGAATGGAAAGATGTAAACTAAACACAAGAAATGCACAGATGCAAACAAAACGAACGTCATCTACCCCTGGTCGCGTGCGGAACCAGGGCTAGTCACATGATAGCATATTTTTAGCCTAGCGGCTAATCACCTGATTTTGAACCGACACGTTGCAAAAAATGTTGAAGTGGAAAAAGCGGTCAAGATTGAGCACCCCCTATTTTTGAGACTGCCAAGTTCCTCATCCAGTTCGCTTTGACTGTAAATGGACGACAAGTTCAAGTATATCACGTTTTCACTATCGCCAACACAGCTACGTACATCATGACCTCGATCATGGGCACGGATTTCGAAACGAAGGCAAGGTATTGTGATCTGAATATCCAAAATCTGGGGACGTTGGGAGTAGTATGGTTGGTACTCCAGTGATTATGCGATTAAATAATTTGATGCCATCTCTGACGATGCCCAAAGCTCAGCTTATGACTCGATCACACATCACAAAGTCGCCATAAAAAAGATCAGCAAGCCGTTTAAAAGCAGTGTCTTGGCAAGAAACACTTTCAGGGAAGTCTTTCTGCTAAGTAAGCTCCGACACACCAACGTCCGTGTGGCATGACTTTTCCAAATGGAGCCTTCGAAGTCTGATCTTGTCTAGTTGATTGAGATGGTGGATGTCTTTATTTCCCCATCTGAAGACCTGTATGATATCCATCCCCCTTCGGCCCCGCTTCGGTATGAGAATGGAAGTATTAATCGTGCGGTATCAAAGGTACATTATCACAGACTGGATAATGACTGATCTCCGCCATCTGATACATTCCGCATCAAATCCTATGAGCGGCGAATTTATCCAATTTTTTATCTATCAGATTCTTGTATGTTGCTTGGCTTGTTCAAATGGGCTTTGCTTACCGATCCAGCGGGCTTTAAAGTACATTCACTCTGCTGGTGTTCTGCATCGTGACCTCAAGCCCAGCAATATTCTCGTCAATCACAATTGCGACTTGAAAATATGTGACTTTGGATCGGCTCGCGGACAAATTGACAATCAAATGACTGGCTATGTCACCACGCGATACTACCGAGCGCCAGAGATCATGCTGAATCCGCAGAAATACACCGAGGCTGTGGACATTTGGAGCTCAGGGTGTATTTTCGCGGAAATGATCCTAGCGAAGCCATTGTTTCCTGGCAAGGATCAGGTACACCAATTTACGCTTATTGCGGAGGTTCTCGGAAAACCACCAAAGCAAGTCATAGAAAGCATCACCAGCAAGACTGTAATCTCGCGTATTAAAGCAAATTCTTAGGTGACTCGTCGCTGACGATAAATTCTAGACACTCGAGCATATCAAATCACTGCCAGAATCAAAGTCTCGCTCGTTTGATACTTGTTTTGAGCAGACTGACCCCCAAGGTACGCTTTATGCCGTATCGGATCTACTCAATCGCTTCCAAAGAAACATTCTTATTTTAAAAGCTGTCCAATTATTAGGTAAATTGCTCATGCTGAACCCACGAGAGAGAATCACAGCCGCGGCTGCTCTGGAGCACCCGTATGTCTCTCTCTACCACGATCCAGAGGACGAACCGGTTGCCGATGAGCGGCTTGATTTATCTATCTTGGAAACAGGGTTGTCATCGGCTTCTTGGCACAAAATTATGTAGGCTGACTCCATCTGAAAAAGATTTCATTGAAGCTAATCCAGCAATAGTTACGATGAAGTCTTGAATTTTCATAGCAGTGGCTTGAACATGCAATGAGCTCGCACCCTTTATTTTTGTCTTCGGATGTACTGTAGTGGCAGGTGCGCTTAGCCATGATATTCAAGGGACTGTCATTGTGGGCAGGTCCATTAATGAAATAGACTTTTTTAAGGTGGACACACTTTCATCGCAGGTATTTGTAAATAGCATATTCAAAGTCTCACGGACTGGTGCCCCACGGCTCCCCGGGACACATTGGCAAGGGAATGGGAGAGCCCGAAGGCATTCGTCCAGATACCATGGGAAGCACCACCAGTGGTGATTTTCGAAGACCGCGAAGTGGCCGTGGAACATCATAATCAGATCCCGGTAGAAGATCCAAGAGAAAGACTTCCTGATTCTCTAGTGTGAGGGGAGTGGAATTGAAGGTAGGATCGCAGCAGCAGCGATCGTCATTCTCGAGGATCAATATGCTGCCAGCCTGGGTGCCGATTATACACCACTCACTCACCTTCACCGTCCCGCTATATACCACCACAATACACATAAACACCCTCGTCCACGTTCATCTGTTAAAATATATGTCTAGACAGTGGTATCTTGGCAAGAAGCGTATGTCAATGAACGAGGTGTTGTAATTCTGACTCTGTAAAGGTGTACATCTACCGCTATTTGTAGTAGTAGAAATACACTAAGCGAGAGTGCGATGGATCTGTAATAGTCCCATGGTACAAAGCATCCAATAAACCCTACGTGACTTCTGCGTAGGTACTCAGAGATGTTGAGGCCTCAGGCATGCTGAGCCGATATCTCAACATCATCAACGTTGATCAACGCTCATCAACACATATCAACACTCTCGTCAACGTTGATCAACGTTGATCAAAATATCCGCGACGCACCAAAACACTCACGTCTCTGCTCGCTCTACGCCCTGATGGCAGAGATGCATTCTATTGCGGCGGGAAGACTGGTAGACCGTGTTGTTGTTCGTAGGTATAAATTGACTTGTTATTTCAGAGGGATACATGAGCCTATATATACAAAAATTAGCCAAGTTGATTTCCAATCAACTTGGTCGTCTGTATAGACACTTCGGAGCTAATTCCGACGGTGCGGCTTGGTTCCTGATCTGCACCAGCCTCATATCACAACAGTAAAAGACAGGCACGCACAAGGATGAGTACCTACGGATGGCCGCTGCAGCCAGGGCCCGGCTGCTGAAGTCACTGTGAAAAGACAGCTTAGCCGTAGTTGGAATCCACTAAGGCTACGTCAAAATTCTCTGAAGGTTCAAGGTGAAACGATGCGGAAAGTGAAGCTGTTGAGGGATAGCCGTGTCACGGACCTCTTTCCCCACCTCTGGGTAGCAGATTCTTGGCAAATAGATTTAGGCTTGTCTGATTGGCTAGTCCAGATATACGTGCCCAATCAGGAGACTCCGCTCATTTACCAAGAGGATAGTTTCCACAAATGCTGTCCAAATGGCTGAAGCCTTTATCAGTACATAAATCGTTAAACGTATTTGCCGCTTCCATTCATCCCGGTCATCGCAGAGACTAGATACTCATTCAGGGACCTTAGTGTCTTTCGAATTTATTGTTTGAGTCCGAGGTACTCCGTACAATCTGCCTGAAGGACTCTTCTACTGGCGCAAAGTCCACTTCTGCAATTGATACATTTTGCGTATCCCGCATGGAACATTGAGTTTGACAATAATTAGCCACCCTCAGGCAGAAATCGAAAGCCGGAACGACCGTAGACACGCCCAGCTTGTCGTACCTGCAAATGTATGAGATCTAGTTAAGCGACAATGGCTTTATACCATGAGACCCGTGGGGTTTCATCATCGTTAGCTCCGTGGACCAGGCTTACCGCCTATGATCATTGTCCCGTCCACCTTATCCGCCCTTCCGAAATTGCTCACATTCTATTTGCGATATGAAACACTAAGATGCGATGGAATCACCAGGATGCAATGAAAGGCATCGCTCAAGTACCGAAGCCAGTGGATTAACGTGATAACGTATTGCCCGAGCGACCGAATTGACCGAGAGGCCCCACTAAAAACCCATCTCAAAAAAATAGCATCTCTTGTTTACCACAATAATAATGGTCCACCAACGGTCTGGTCGAAGGAGAAATCTACTAGAGCAGGAGGGCCGTCTTTTATTAGCGATAAAAGCTATAAAAAATGGTAATTATCTCTCTGCTGCAGCTGCTGCGCGGTCTTTTGATTTACCAGTCTCAACTTTGAAGGCCCGCCTTAACGGGCGTGAAGCTGCTTCTGAAAAACGACACAATCGCTTTATTTTCTCTGTGTTTGAAGAGCAATCGATTGAAAATGGCTATTGGATATGGATACCAGGGGTGCTGCTCTTACATTGCCTATGTTGAGAGATATGGCCAATTTACTCCTTCATGCCCAAAAACAATCCCCTCTACGGTTGGTAGAGATTGGGCATCTCACTTTGTCAAACGACATCCAAATTTTTCCACACGATTATCTCAAAAATACGACTATCAAAGAGTTCTTTCAGAGGACCCTCGAATTATCAAAACATGGTTTGATTTGGTCCAAAATCCCATGGAAAAATGGGGTATCACTTCGGATGATATTTTCAACTTTGATGAGTCTGGTTTTGCCATGCGAGTTGGTACCACACAAAGGATTATTACCTCAGCTGAGCACCATGGAAAAAGAACTCTCTCACAAGCTGGGAATCGCGAGTGGGTGACTTCAATTGAGTGCATTAGAGCTGATGAAAGTGTTCATCCTCCACTCTTTGTTTTCAAGGGGAAACTCTTTCCTGAGCATCTACGCATCCCCCTTGATTCAAATCAACTTGGATCTCGATTGACTGTGAGCAAAAATGGCTGGACTACCAATTAAATTGGTTTATGGTGGTTGAAATCTCATTTTATTCCAAATATTGGGAAAGGAGATGGAAAATACTGCCTCTTAGTCCTTGATGGTCATGGGAGCCATCTAACCCCTGAATTCGATCGAATTTGTGAAGAAAATGATATTATTGCTATCTGTATTACTTCTCATGCCTCGCATCTTTTACAAATTTTGGATGTGGGTTGTTTTTCGGTTTTGAAGAGGCTTTATAGAGGAGCGTTTTCAACCATGATGCGGAATGGAGTCAATTCTATTGATAAGGAAGATTTCCTTGAATTGATTGCAGATGGAAGAAAGGGAGCTTTTAAGACCTCTACTATCCAGAATAGCTTTCTAGCTACTAGATTAGCACCATTTGATGCTAGTAGAGTCTGGGAAAAGCTTAATGTATGCCTGGATGAACTTCCTCCTCTTGAGATTCTTCCTAAGCGACCACTCTCTTCTGGCAGTGATAGTGATCCAAATACTCTCTGGACTCTCTCAAAGTTCTCCAAATCGCAATCTCAGATCAAAAAAGGAGCCATCAAACATAAGTTCACTAGCCAGAGGGGCATTTTCAGGAGTCGGGAGGAAGGTCAGGATGATGTAGTTGTTGAGGATGATGGTGTCAGTGAAGATATAACGTATTGTGTAAACGAGTGGAACAGCTAGAACGCCACCTTGAATGCGAAATTTGATGATGATATATATCGACAACACTTTTTATAATTCAGTATTGTGGCTAGTATCTAATTGTAATAAGAGAAGAAAGCCAAGAGAGTTTTAATAAAATTAAATAAAGATTGAAGATATTACCTTTAAATACGGTGTATTTTTGCATTTTTATATATATCTCGGCCCTAAGGTCTCTAAATAATCTAAGGCTCTAATAACATAATTAATTATTACTTCTGTATAATAAATATTTAGCGTTAGTCTTCTTATTATCTGTCGGATTGACAGATACTGGTATGTGCTAGTATTGAGGTGTCCCATTGAGATGCATTGATGTTGTTCTATCTGGATCTTGCTGTTGAAGCGTTAACAGATCTCAGGAGTCGTTCCTAGCGTGTTACGACGCTGGTATGCCGAGCGTACCCCGTTTACCATACAGAGACAGAGACAGAATGGGTACTTGATGAATATCCCTGTTCTTAGTGGTAAAATACCACCCCTCAGTTCGACACACCCCCTCAGCGAGTGCCCTTTCTGCTCTTGCAGATGTGTGCGTTAGACCTCGCCCACCACCAGATGTTGCCGTATATTTTCCATACCCATCGATTGCATGAATTCGAGATGCTTTTGGCGGGGTAGTAGCTTTGTGAGACCATCAGCTACCATATCGGCGGTTTTCACCCAGTGTACGGTGATGCGCTTGCTCTGAACCTCCTGCCGGAGCCAGTGCTGGTGTATGTCAACATGACGGAGCTTCGTGCGCAGTTGAGGTGTTTCTTTTTCGAGGATCCCGATAGTCTGCTGATTGTCGCATTTGATGTTTAGCTCATGCTCAGGATCAAAGCGTATTGCTTTGAATAGCCGTTTCCACATGGCCACGGTCCTGGCAGCTTCTGAAACCGCAAGGAGCTCAGCTTCGGTTGTACTGGTAGTCACCGTACGCTGCTTGCCAGCTTTCCAATCGACAGGTCCTCCAAACATCATACATGTGTATCCTTCAGAGCTTTTTCGATCGGGATTATCAGCGAATGAGGCGTCACTAAAGAACTGAACGGCCTCCGGTATCTGACAATTTTTCTGTGATCGATCACGCGCTCTGTACGCGATCGCCGATGTCCGAGTGCTGTCAAGGTACGAGATGACTCTATTGATTGCATCAAGGTGCTGAGGACCGGGATTTGTGAGGAATTGAGCCAGTGTAGCCGTCGCTTTCGCTGAGTCCGGTCTAGTGATCGTCGTTGCATATTGAGCTGAGCCAACCTTCTCCTGGTACTCGTGAATCTGTTGAGGCGTCGCCTGGCCGTCAAATGGCTTGAGTGGGGTACTAGGGAGTGGTGTATCATATCTGCGAGATCCAGTAAGATGGTAACGGTGAGCCATCGAGGATATATATGAATCCTGACAGAGCCATAGGGCCATCTGTTGTCTGTCACGGATAATGCGTATCCCGAGGAACCACTGCGCCTCTCCCATATCTCGAAGCTCCCAGTGTCTGTTG